ATCGTGATACTGGAATTTGAAACCAGGGCCTTTCACTTGTTTGGCAAGCACTTCACCCTACACCCCATCCTTTTTTTATTTTTCAGGTAGGATCTCACTTTTGCCCAGGAGAGACCTTGGACCTCGATCCTCCTACCTCTGACCTTGTGTAGCTGGAATTGCAGGTGTGCACCACTGTACCTGGCCCTAAGACGGTAAATCTTACGTAACAAAAATCTTAAGAGAAGAAGCATTAACCGTGCATTTTAGGAGCAACATAGTTCAGTCGATTAAAGAGCCCCAGCTGATTAAAGAAGCTTCAATTTTTTTTTAATTTTTGGCAGTACTAGAGCTTGAACTCAAGGACTTTGCATCGCTCTACCACTTGAGCCCTGCCCCCAGCCCCACTTTGGTTATTTTTGAGATAGGGTCTCACATTTATGCCCAAGTTGGCCTAGATCACCATCCTCCCCTCCCAAGTAGCTGGAATAACAGGCAGTATCATGCCTGACCTTTTGTATTGGTTGAGATGGGTTCATACTAAATTTTTGCAGGGTCTGGCTACAAACTGCGATCCTCCCAATATCAGCCTCCCAAGTAGCTAGGATAAAGGCATGAACCACCATGCCCCACTAATGAGTCTCTCTTTAAAAGGTCAATATGAGGTCAAACAAGATGATAAAGAAATAGGCACTCTGGGAGTGATGAGGTGTGCAAAGTCATCTTGTAATATATTTTAACATTAAAAGTACACGTATGTATCCTTTGACCTAGGCCATCTTATCTGTGAGTCTGAAATCTGAGTTTTGGACCTTAGGCCCAAATTCCCAGCTTCCACATGTCAGGTTCTGCCACTCACCCCTATAAGCCAAAGAAAGAGACATGGTGAAGGATGGAGAACCAGGCATGGTGGCTTACACCTGTAATCCTAGCTACTGGGGAGGCTGAGGACAGGAGGATTGTGATTCAAGGCCAGCCAGGCAAATAGTTCTCAAGACCCCCATCTCCAAAAATAATCAGAGCAAAATGGACGGGGCGGGTGTGGCTCATGCAGTAGAGTGCCACCAAAAATAAAAGTCACTATGGAGACCTTTCATGGTTCACACCCGTAACCCAGGGTTGGTGAAGTGGCTCAAGATATAGACCCTGATTTCAAACCCCAGTACCACAAAAAAAAAAAGTTAGAAAAAAGATGAATAGCAAAACTTAATAGGCTACCCATTGGGTCTGGGAACATAGCTTAATGGTAGAAAACCTGCACACAATAAAAAATAAAAGGAGACCTATTAAGCAGCCCCATGGCTCTGAGGAGAGAACAGACCTGGTTGGTGATTGCCCCGAGTCCTCAGCCCTCAGTTGGGAGCATGTGGCTGGTGCTAGTTCTCTAGACTGGTCACTGGACTTGATCACATGTCCCTCATCTACTTATGACTTAATTTATTTGTAAACACATGCACCTCTCTACCAATAAATTATGTACATTTTTAAGCACACGCATAGGGGTTCAGCCAGGCATGGTGGCCATGCTGTAATCCTAGCTACTTGGGAGGCTGAGATTGAGAGGCTCAAGGGTCAAGGGCAGTCCAGGCAAATAGTTTGTGAGACCCCACTCCAAAAATAACCAGAGCAAACTGGATTGTAGGTGTGCCTCAAGTCGTAGAGTGCCTGCTTTGCAAACACAAAGCCCTGAGTTCAAATCCCAGTCCCACCAAAAAAATATATTTCCTGGCCAAGAACTATGGTTACATAGTGTGACCACGTCTCATAAAACCAGAGGAATCTTTACTCCCATTACCTGCATAGGGAGCAGGAATTTTTTTCCCTTTTACCCTGATATATATAAAAATATATATATTACACATATTTTTTTGCTGCACTGGGGAGTTGAACTCAGGGTCTCTTGCTTACTAGACAGGCGCTCTACCACTGAAGCAACACTACCAGCCCTTCCCTGCTATATTTTTACTTGCTATATTAAAATAAACCCTTGTAGCTGTGCCCTGGTGGCTCATGCCTATAATCCTAGCTACTCAGGAGGCAGAGAGCAGGGGGGTCACAGTTCAAAGCCAGCCCTGGGCAAATAGTTCGCAGAGACCTTACCTCAAAAATACCCAACACAATAAAGGGCTGGTGGAGTGACTCAGGAGATAGAGCACCTGCCTAGCAAGTGTGAGATCCTGAATTCAAATCCCAGAACCGCTAAAAACAGAGAGAGAAAAGGAAAAAGGGGGAAGGAGGGAGGGAGGGAGGAAGGAAGGAAAGTACTGGTTCAGCCGGCACACCATAGTTCAAACTGTGATCTCTGTGAATCCAGCAGGCAGTGTGTTCATTCAGCTTGGAACTCATTAAATTCTTGAAAATGAACAAGTGATTGAGCCTCCAGTCTGGCCTACTGGAGGCTCCATGATGAGTGCAGGAGAGTTGGAGTAACCGTCCAAGGTTTACAAAATCTGTTCCACTCTTGGGTCGTCACCTCTCCTGAAAACCCTAGAGAGAGGAGCTTCCTATGCACCAGCCACTCTTTAGGGCTCCACTCTGGAGCCCTAAAGCTACAGAAGAAGGGGAGGGGGTTTTACTTTCATAAAATTACCATGTAGAGCTGGAGTTATACCTCAGTGTACAGCACTTGCCTAGTATTTGCAATGACCTCAGTTTCATCCCCCAGCACTGGAGAGAAAAAGAAAGAAAAATCCATGTAGTACAATGACCTTAATGCTTGGGGATCAGTAACCTGTTTGGGAAACTAAGGCTCTTTGTCCAACAACGCCACATTCCTATATCAGATATACCTCAAGTTTGGCACATGGTCTCAGATGTTCCATGGACCCCTGAAGTCTACACAAAAGCTCCTGGTAATGAATCTGTGGACTCCAAGAAGCCTGAGGAACTTCATGGTTTATCTCAGCAAAGCTGCCCCTGCTGTTCTTGTAGTCATCTTCAGAGGGCTTTAGTGATAAGGAGAGGAAGGGACTGCTGAGCTAGGGGAATCTGGGGCATCACCAACTCTGGGCCTTGGCCCTTCTCTCTATGAAGGTGCCTCATCCCCCCCCCACAGTGGAGTGTATATGCACCCCCCCAGCCTCCCTCCAGTGGATGCTGCTGGCAGACACAGGCTCCACCGCCAGGCTGGGTTTGGCTGCTCTCTGAGCTGTTGCCCTGTGCAGGATAGATTGGGCACCTACCCGGAATGGCTCTGGGCCATGCAGACCAGAGTGCTGCAGCCAGAATGTGGCTCCTTCCACGGTGTCCCCAAATCCAGAAGCGAGCCTCTCTGAGCACCCAGCCTGTGCAAAACAACTCTCAGAGAACTGGGCAAGACTGCCAAGTAACCACCACAAATCACTCATTTGCAATGAGTGTTCCCACAATCACTGAGAGGCGGATACACCATTTACAGATGAGAGCAGAGGCTAGATGACAACCCCACTCACTTATTGAGCACCTGCTGTATACTGTGCTAGGTGCCAGAGATCATCTCCCCTTGGGGTTCATAATCCAATGAGGTGATCATTTCAAACCAATGTGGCAAATGCCATGAAAAAGTCATGCCCAGGCCTAGTAGTGTAGCTCAGTGGTGGAGTGGGTGTTTAGCATGCACTGAGTTCAATCCCCCAGCACCACATTAAAAAAAAAAAAGCTGGATGTGATGGCACAGGTCAGTGGTCCCTGCTACTCAGGAGGTAAGAGGCTACAGTTCAGCCTGGGCAAAGGTGGTCTGAAAAATGAACTAAAAGCATAAGGACTGGGCAGATAGCTCAAGTGATGGAACACTTACCTAGCAAGCCCTGAGTTCAATCCCCAGTATTGCCAAAAATAAAAGCATCTGGGTGCTGGTGGCTCATGCCTGTAATCCTAGTTACTTGGGAGGCTCAGGAAGGATCACAGTTTGAGGCCAGCCTGGGCAAATAGTTTGCAAGACTCCATCTCCAAAAATAACCAGAGCAAAATAGATGCCGAAGTGGTAGAATGCCTGCTTGGCAAGCATAAGGCCCTGAGTTCAAATCCCATTCCCACTAGAAAAAAAGAAAAAAGTAAAGGCCGTGCATTAAGGACTATAGAGTATGGGACACATAACCCAATTTAGGGTATGGGGAGGTCAAGGAAGGCTTGCTGGGGCATGTGACATCTGCACAATGTCTTCAAAGATAAGAAAAACCTAAGCGGGGCTTCAGGAGGGTATGCCAAGCAGTTGGACTAGCCTGGCACTGAAGCTTGGTGGGCACGCATCCCCCGGGTTTGTGAAGGAGGCTGCCAGCAGTCAGGCACTGTCTGGCAAAGCTAGCAGGCCAGATGAGGAAAAAGGCGGCTGGGGTCTTGGAGGTCCTTGCTCATGGCTCGTGTTGAACATGAGCCTGTAACCAAGGTGCACTTGAGAGACTTCAGCAAAGGACTGACAAGAGGGGTCAGACGTGTGGTCAGCTTGTCAAGAGCAGCTGTAACAATCCATGAGTGCCTACTCCATGCCAGGTCGTGCTGGCCCCTTGATGGGTACTACATTCACATTTTAAGGAGGTTTAGCAGCGGGCTCAAGGACAAGCAAGACTCAGCCTTTGCTGAGTGGGGGCGGGGGAGGATCGGTGAGTAGCAGAGCAGGAACCTGGATGCCAGGTCTCCCTCCCCATCCGCTCGGGGCAACCTCTGGACTCACCCCTCCCTCCGGCACCGGGAGCATAGTGCGCGCCCCATGGCCGTCGAGGCAACGGCGACCCTGTCGGGCGCGGCTCCCCGCCCCGGGACTGGGGGTGGGAGGGCTCCCGTCGGACAGGGCTGGGGGTGGTCAGGAGCCTGGAGCCTGGAGGGGTGGGGAGGCCGGGCGCCCGGGGCTGGGCGGTGGAGAGGGGTGGCTCCTCCCCCGGGCCCGCCGCAGCGGCTCGGGGCGGGCCCGGCGGCTGTGGTGGCGGCGCCCCGGCTCCTGCCCCGACAGGTGCGCGCGGCGCGCAGGAATGCGGCCCGCCTGACTCACCAGCGCCTCCTTCCTACCTGCGCCGCCCGCCCCATAAAGCGCGGCCCTCTACCCGCCCGCCACCCGCCCGCCACCCGCCGCCTCGGCTCGCCCACCGTGCGCGCTTCAACCCCACCGAGCCGCAGCCCCAGCGCCGAGGGCGCGAGTCCCGCCGAGGTAGGTCCAGGGGCCGGAAGCCGGGGCGCCAGGCAGAGGGCAGGGGGCGCGGGCGGCGATCCGCCGACCCCAGTGCCCAGGCCACCGGGGCTGGCAAGGAAAGCGAGTGTGCACCCCAGCCTGGGCGGCAGCGCAGGAGAGTTTCTTTGACTTTTGTGTTCCTTCCCCTTCCTGAAAACTGGCAGGCCCTGATTCCCTCTGTCCCGGCTGCCCAGGGCAGGTGCCCAACTTGCCTGGGTGTGTCCAGGGGGGCAGCTGAGTGCGAAGGGGCAAGGGAGCTGGGGAAGGACGGTGGACATCAGTTCTTCCTATTAGAGGAGGGCGTTGAGTGGGTATTGGAGAGAAGTGGGCAGAGGCCCAGGTGGCTAGCAGGCCTACTGGGCTGTGCCCCCCTGGAGTTTGCAAAGAAGGTAGGGGTGCAGTCTCCCTGCAACCAGTGCCCTCCCTGTTTGGCTGGGCAGGGCCTGCTATTTAGTGCCACAATCTCCACGGCGTCAGGGGAGTCCCTGATTTTCTTCTTCTCTGAACCAACCACTCCCATGCTCTCTTCTCAAAGTGCACTCCAGATGCCTTTTCTCTGGGAAGATTTTCTACAGCCCAGCAGCTGTGCCACCACTGTGACCTCCTCCCCACAGCTCCTGGGGTGGCCCTCTGCTTAAGGGCACCAGATGGCTCCCAACGGCAGGAAGAAGCTCTTCCTCCTCCCCCACAACCTTGCCAACCCTGAATCCAGGGCTGGGCTCAGGTGGCATGGTTGTTGCTGTCTTCAACAGAACTGGAAGTAAAACCCCAGACTCTATCCCAGTGACTGAAGGAAGAAAGGACAACTGGAGGGAGGGTCAGCAGAGAAAGGGTGTTTGTCCCCTGCAGGGAAGGGGTGTTTGTCCCCTTATCCCTAATTTCCTATGGGTGGCAGAGTAGCCAAGGGGCCCCATGCAGCCTGGAGAGTGGGCATCCGGCAAACTCCACCCAACTGTCATGGTCACTATTCCAGTAAACCTACCATCCTAATTTTTATGTGAAATCTCATTGTTTCTAAAATTGGCAACTACTCTTAAAACTTTTCAAACACAAGTTGAGTCGAACAAACAAAAATGGAGTGCCTGTCTAGCCCTCAACTGATGTTATAAAAGCCATTGAGTGTTACATGGAGATTCAGCATGGGGTCTGCACTACCCTGTCCCAATCAGTCCCTCCCAATGCTGACTGCAGGATGGGGAAGCCCTACATCCTTCACCTTGAATCACTCCACCAGCCCTATGTTTATGAAGGGTTTTTCCAGATAGGGTATCATGGAGCTATTTACCCAGGCTGGCTTTGAACATCAATCCTCCTGATCTCTGCCTCCTGAGTCACTAGGATTGCAGGTTTGAGCCATCGGCTCCCAGCCAAGAAACTATTTCAATGTATTTATTCTTAGTCATTCTTTTTTTTTTTTGGCAGTATTGGTTGGGGCTTGAACTCAGGGCCTCATGCTTACTAGGCAGGTGCTGTTCTACATGAGCCACTCCATCAGCCCTGCCCTATATCCTTTTGTGCCTTTTATGCCTCTTCTATCTGGGAGACCAGGTTCTGTGCAGATTCTATAGCAATCCTGGAAGTGCCAGGAAGTGCCAGGTTCGTGTGGCTGTCCTGACCATGTGTGCAGGGCCTGTGTACAGGGGTGGGTGAGTAAGGGCTGGGCTTGGCCCTCTAGTGCCCATACCTGCCTGGGTAATGGTGCCCTAGGGAGGCCAAGTGTGCAGCCTGCATTGTGTAGTACTAGGGTGTGGTGCCTATACCCTGAGGCTGCAAGAAAGTCATTTCCCCCCGGAGCCCCACCTCAGCTGACTCAGGGCTCCTTTCTAGCCTCTGTTCCAACAGGGCGTTGATGTGCCAGGCTGCTGCCTGCCTCCTTGGGGGCCTTGGGAGAGAGGTGAACAATACCACCATGCCCTTTACCTGAGCAGGGTCTCTCGAGACTGCAAGGGGCCTCGGCCCTCCAGGCCCTGGGGTTCTCCTTACCCCACAAGTGGGAGGCTAAGAAAGGATTCAAGGAGGAGGGCCAGTGAGCATGGCATGGTCTGAATCCCTGACAGATCTGGCTCTACAGAGATAATGGGGCCCTGGCCTTTGCCCTTTGCTGTGCAGGCCCTGGTTACTCTGAGGCCATCTTCTATCCTTCCTGAGGCTTCAGGCTGCCCATCTTTTCAAAGTCTCCCAGGATGCTTGGGACCACTCTGAAAGTTGTTGAGTTGAGATGGTTGAGATCAAAGGCCACTAGGGGATCCTGGGCTGCCACCATGTGTTTGTGAATGAGCAGGATGGTCTTGTAACTTTGCTCTGAGCCAAACTGCTCAGGAACCCTGTAAACTCAACTCTGGGAAGGTAGAGGCTGGGAGAAGAGCAAGGGACTCAGACCTCACTCCTGAGCTCCCAGGTATTAGGAAGGGCTCCTTTCCTCTAGTCTCAGCCACTTTGACCAAAGGGAAAGTGAGCTGGTACAGAGGGGACAGATGGTGGAGCCAGGGTCTCCCTGGAGATGGCCCTCTTTTTGGGTGACCCTATCTCTACCAAGCTTGACCCAGGCCTTCCGGAATCTGAAGGGCAAAGACAGAATAAGGCTTATCCTGCTCTCAGGCAAAACCAGAGATCTGACACTAGAACAGGCCTGGAGCTAAGAGTCCACAAAAGCCAGAGATGGCCTCCCCAGGCAGGGCAGAGGCATACAGGATATCTGCAAGGGGTGGCAAAGAAGGGGCAGTGGAGAAGGTGGCAGTCAACATTTCTGAGCCCTGCCACTCATAGTAGAGCTCCATCTCGGAGCCTCTACTTCCACACCTGCACAATGGGATGGTCTCGCCTCTCCCTGGAGCTCTCATGGGGATCCAGTGAGCTGACAGTGCCAAACTAGGGCTGTAGAGGCATCGTGTGATTATTGTTGCACTTCTACAGGAAGAAGAGGATGGCAGGGCTGTGTCCCAACCTGTGGGCCAGGCTGCTGTTGGCAGGTCTGCTAAGTTTCAGCCTTCCAGGGAACATGGGTGAGTCATATGTCCCTGTAGTCCCCTCTAAGATGGGAAACTGAGAGGCACTGCCCTCACACAGGAGCTGCTGTCATTCAACAACGGAGCTCTGCACATCTCCAGGCTGCACACCCATCAGCCCAGACAGTTGTGAGCCCTGCCAGGTGGCCTGAGATAAAGGGAAAAGAAGCTGTCTAGAGAAGAGAGAAGCTGCCTGCTCAGAAAGCTGAGGTGCCCAAGGGAGGACCTGAGGCCTCCACAGGGGAGCTGAAAGTTTTATAGGAATTTGGAGGAGAGAGAGACTGCTAACATATTAACCACTTTCCTGTTGGCAAATGGCTGGAGTCAGAATCTACCAATTAAAATTTCCCTGTCAGTTGAGGTAATATTGATAGATCACAATGGACTACGGTGGGAATATTTCCATGGAAACTGACAAACACAGCAAGTCAGGGCTTCCCCTCCCTCACCAGAGCCCTTGTTAAACACGGACCACCCACACTGTACACTGGTGCACACAGTAGGGAATTACTGTGATTCTAACTGAACAGTACCAAGGGAACCTCAATAACCTTTGTGGGAATTCTGAGGTTTTTCCTCATTCATTTACTGAGGACCTACTGTGTGCCAGGCCTTGTGCTAGGTGAAAAGACAGACAGGGTCCCCTTGACCCCAGAGGAGGCTCAAGGGACAGATGAGTCCCATGACAGTTGTTATGCCAGAAAGCACGAGCTGTAATGGAGAGAAACCCATGGGTGCTGTTCATCACAGGGCTCCATGAAGGCAGGAGCATTCACAGTGTCTGAGGAGTTAGTGGCGGGGGGGGACATTTCCGCAAATGGCCAGCCCCTTCATCTCAGCCCCACCATCATCCCTCCAGACTTGAGTGGAAAGTTCCAGGTTTGAGACCTGGCTCTGCTCATTTCAAGCTGTGCTAGCTGGGACAGACCAATTGCCTCCGCCAGACAGCAGAAGAGGGTGCAGGTGGGAGAGGGCATGGTCACTGGTGAGGCCTCTCCCAAGTGTTGCACCCCTTTCCCCTGCCCACCAGCCAACCGCTGCAAGAAGGCTCAGGCGGAGAGCTGCACCGAGTGCATCCGTGTGGACAAGGACTGTGCCTATTGTGCGGATGAGGTGAGCCACCACCACACCTGCCTTCTCGACACCCACCTTCCCACACCCCACATCTGCCCAACTTTACCTTTGCTTCGGGCCAGCTGGGTGGAGGAGAAGAAGCAAGGGTCAGGAATATGGAGGGGAAATAAATCCAGAGTTGGAGTAGCTTTGGGAATGGCCACTGCCCCCACTGACCCCATCTACTTCTGGCCAGCTGTTTAAGGAGCGGCGCTGCAACACGCAGGTGGAGCTGTTGGCGGCAGGCTGCCGGCGGGAGTACGTGGTGGTCATGGAGAGCAGCTTCAAAATCACAGAGGTGCCTGGAGCGGGGATGAGGGCCGGGCTCTCCATGCATAAGGCTGGCTGGCGTGGGGGTCACAGTGCCCGTTGGCAGGTCTGAGGCTCCCCTCAGTTCTCTGCAGTGACCCTCCAGCTAGCTGTTCTCGTCTCCCTGGCACAGGAAACCCAGATTGACACCACTCTGCGCCGTAGCCAAGTGTACCCACAACGCCTGCAGGTCCGGCTGCGGCCGGGGGAGGAGCGTCACTTTGAGTTCGAGGTGTTTGAGCCTCTGGAGAGCCCCGTGGATCTGTATATCCTCATGGACTTCTCCAACTCCATGTCTGATGACTTGGACAACCTCAAGCAGATGGGGCAGAACCTGGGTACGACTGAGTCAGTGTGGAGGACAGTGGGATGGAGGGTGGGGAGGCTCACCCAGCTGGCTCAGGAGGCTGACTCTGTATAGCTTCATCCACCCCATAAGGATAGTCCCTTCCAAAGTGACACCCCCGTTCTCAGGGAAGGGTCCCTGCCAAACACCATCTACCACTTGGGACTTCAGAGAAGACCACTAGCAGCACAACCTTCTGGCCCTGATAAGGATTGCACTCCCTGCCACAAGGCTGTGGATAAAACTCAGCTCTGCACTACTTACCTGGCAGGGGAGACACCATGATCACGAAGGTGGTTTTCCCAGTGCGAGGCTTAGCCATCGCACTCCGGATGTGCTGACCCCTGCAATTTCCCCAAATGTGGGAAACTCGACTGCATAATTTGTGGTAGTGGGGGGACTGTGTTCATGCTCTCCCCAAAAAAAAAAAAAAAACTCAGCTCTGCAGACCAAGCTGTGTTCTATTCCCCACACTGCTTGCTAGACACATAACTCCAGGTCCCCCCAAGTCCTTCCCCAATTTTAAATAGGAACAAGAGCTAGGAGAGCACAAACTGATGTCCATCATGCAAAGTGGTAACAAGAGGTGGCCCTTCTCTGCTTCTTCCTGAGCCAGCCCAGCACCCCCCCGCCACCCTGTGTCTATGTGATGACATTGAGGCTCAGCTGTCCCCCTTTTTTTTCCCCTACTGATGTCCAGCCAAGATCCTGAGCCAGCTCACCAGTGACTACACGATCGGGTTTGGCAAATTTGTGGACAAAGTCAGTGTCCCTCAGACAGACATGAGGCCTGAGAAGTGAGTGCCTGAGTGGGCCCTGGGTGGACAGGGGTCCTGGTCGTCGTGTGACCCACCTCCTCTCACTCTGGCACTTAATTTTCCTCTAGTTGAAATGAGTCATGAGCACTGGGATACATGGGTCCTCCCTCCCTGACTCTCCCTCTCTCTGTCCCACCTCTGCCCAGGCTGAAGGAACCCTGGCCCAACAGTGACCCCCCCTTCTCCTTCAAGAACGTCATCAGCCTGACAGATGATGTGAAGGAGTTCTGGGATAAACTGCAGGGAGAGCGGATCTCAGGCAATCTGGATGCACCTGAAGGCGGCTTTGATGCCATTCTTCAGACAGCTGTGTGTACAGTAAGTGCCGAGAGGGGTCCTGCCCACCTAGGCCAGGGCTGCTGCTTCTTGGCCCACTGGCCTGCACTAGCACCAGGTTCAGAAGTCCTCCAAGGGATACCCAGATGCCTTCAGTCCCCAGGCCCTAAGGCAAACTCAGACCATTGGAGAGGCTCTCAGTTCCATCCATGTTTTTGATGTGCTGAGAGCCAAAGTCCCTGTCTAAGCAGTCTCAGCCTGGTTTCAGTTTGGCCAGTGAGCCAATGCAAACAAGACAAGGACCTTGGGATTCTGGAATCTTCCTGGACTGAGACCAGCCTCCAGTACATCTCCTACAACTGCCCTCTCTCCAACTGTACTAACAGCTGAAGTGACCAAATCTTTTGTACAAAAAAAAATTGTACATCAAAGTTTTCATTTTGAAAACAACATATCCACATTGTAGACAATTTAGAAAACAGAGCAGAAATTTCCTATTGTTGTAAGCAATAATTTCACCACCATCAGCCATCCACTCACTCCTGTTAGCATATTTTATTTGCTTTTCCGTATTTTATATAGTGTGCTTATAATTCTGAACCTTGCTCTTTTTTTTTTAACTTAACACTATCAACTTACCACCAAAAAAAAAAAAAGAGTTAGAGGGGCCACTCAAGTGGTAGAGCGCCTGCCTAGCAAGCATGAAGCCCTGAGTTCTGAGTTCAGTCCCTGGTACTGCCAGAGAGATAGAGAAAAGGAGGGAAGGAAGGAAGGGAGGGAGGGAGGGAGGAAGAAAGGGAGGAAGGAAAGGAAGAAAAGGGCTGGTTCAAAGCCAGTACTGCCAAAAAAAAAAAGAAAAAGAAAAAGCATTAGAGGCCAGCCTGGGCTACATAGTAAGACCCTGTTTCAAAAAAAACAAAAACAAACGAACAAGAAGAACTGAAACAGATCACCTTGTATATTTTCTAGCAAATTGCTACACATTGCCAAACCTATTTCAACTGGCCTATTTCATTTTACACTATGTCCTGTATGTTTTCCTATGCGGTTAAAATATTCTCGCATTGTGATAGTTAAGAGGTTAGGGAAGGAGTCATCCAATGAACCTGGCTGGATTCTCACACAGTACCCACTATGCACCTGCTGCCTTTGTTACCCCTTCCTCCATTGCTACTTTCTGGTTTTCAGAAAAGTGCTGTCACATGCATCTTTCATGATGGCACATGCCATTAGTCCTGTGGCTTCAGCCCAGCCCCATGTTGGGACCCGCCTCTCCTATCTTACACAACTCTGGGGTGTGTGTCTACAGCAAGCAGCCTGCTCAATGGACACATGCCTTCTTCCCTTGCCCAGAGGGACATTGGCTGGCGCCCTGACAGCACCCACCTGCTGGTGTTCTCCACTGAGTCTGCCTTCCACTATGAGGCTGATGGCGCCAATGTGCTGGCTGGCATCATGAACCGCAATGATGAGAAGTGTCACCTGGACGGCAAGGGAGCCTACACCCAGTACAAGACACAGGACTACCCATCAGTGCCCACGCTGGTGCGCCTGCTTGCCAAGCACAACATCATCCCCATCTTCGCTGTCACCAACTACTCCTACAGCTACTACGAGGTGTGGGGTCTGGGTCCCACTGAATGACAGGGTACAGGGCTGGGAGTCCATGGAACTTTCTCCCTCCATCCCTTCCTCCCTCCCTCCCTTCCCTCTATCCCTTCCCTCCTTTCTTTCTTCCCTTCGTCCTTGCTTCCTTCCTTCCTAAATTTTTGGGCCCCTGAGAGTGGACCCTGCTGGAAAGATCACTTGCCCATCCCCTAACTCAACTCCCAAGTAGGTGGGGCCTAAGAAGGGTAGCTCTGGAATACACTGGCAAGTTCTTGGCCTCAGTTTCCCCATCTGCAAAGTGGGGATCATCTCAGAATTGTTGTTCAGATTCAAGGAGCTGCTTAACCAAGGCCTGCCATTCTCTCCTGCAGAAGCTGCATACATATTTCCCGGTCTCCTCGCTGGGAGTGCTGCAGGAGGACTCATCCAACATCGTGGACCTGCTAGAGGAGGCCTTCTATGTGAGGGGCGGTGTGGGCTGCAGAGTCTGAGCCCTTCTGGGGCAGGGCAGAGAGAGGCAGAGTGGGAGAGGAGTGCCCATGGTATGGCTGAGAAATGGGGCTGGGATAGGCCAGAAAAAGAGTCTTTGGCTGTCATCCTTGGGAGCCTAAGGAGTTCACCTAGGCATGGCCTCAGGTTCCTGGAGGATCTGCTCCTGTGATCCCATACATGCCCTCCCTGTGAGTGGGGGTGAGGAACAGCTAGGCCAGGCCAACGTGAGTCCAGGCTCCCTCCAAACCACTGATCACCTGTCCTCCTTTAGCGCATTCGCTCCAACCTGGACATCCGAGCCCTGGACAGCCCCCGAAGCCTGCGGACCGAGGTCACCTCCAAGATGTTCCAAAAGACAAAGACTGGATCCTTCCACATCAGGCGGGGGGAAGTGGTACGCTTCTGTGAGGGCAGAGGGATGGGCAGGTGGGCATAGCACCCTCCAAGGGATGGAATCCTTTAATGGCGGGCATATGCGTAGCCTCTGGAATCAAGTGGACCTGAGTTCAAATTCCCCAGTGTCAGCTCCTTGGATGAGCTTGGCACGTTGCTCTGCCATGTCTATGTCTGTACAGTGGGATGAAAAGCAGCACCAAGCTCTGAGGGATGCTAAGGTGAGCAAGTGGGCTATTGTCACAGAGCCAGAGGAGCTTCTGTTATTGCTATTGCTGTTATTATACTATAACCGGAAGGAAGGAGTCCCTAAGGAAGGGCGAGCAGGGCACCAGTGGCCTTCTCTTCATCGGGGCAGGGCCTGTCTTGGCTGACGGCAGAATCCCTACAGGGCACATACGACGTACAACTGCGGGCTGTGGAAGATGTAGACGGGACACACGTGTGTCAGCTGGCAGAAGATGATCAGAAAGGCAACATCCACCTAAAGCCCTCCTTCTCCGACGGCCTCCAGATAGACGTGGGCATCATCTGTGACGTGTGTGCTTGTGAACTGGTAGGATTCAGCCCCACTGTGTGGGAGGGAGGAGCTGCCCCGAGTATCCGGAACCCTGAGTAATGAAGAAGACCCAAGGCACAGAGGGCAGCAGAAGTGCCCAGTGGCCCCAGTCCCCCTCCTTCCACACACTCCACAATGGTCTCGTTCCAGCAAAAAGAGGTGCGGTCAGCTCGCTGCCACTATAGAGGAGACTTCATGTGCGGGCACTGTGTGTGCAATGAGGGCTGGTGAGTGGGGGAGGGGAGCCCCACCCCAGGGTGTCTCCTACAGGGCCCCACTCCTGGGCACACCTTGTATGGCCAGATTGGAGTGGGGTGGTACAGAAAAGGCTGGGAGAGGGATCTACCCAGTGTTGGGTCAATCCAGTTCAAAACATTTAGGATGGTTTGACTTAGAGGGTTTGTTTTTGTTTGTTTGTTTGTTTTCCTGGTGGTACTGGAGTTTGAACTCAGTGTCTCACGATTGCTAGGCAGGTGCTCTATCAGTTAAGTCACTTCACCAGCCTTATTTTCTGTTGAGTATTTTCAAGATAGGGTCTCAAGAACTATTTGCTAAGGGGCTGACTTTGAACCTTTATCCTCCTGATCACTGTCTCCTAAGTAGCCGTAGGCTAAGATTTTTTGATTTAGGATGTCATAAAAGCTATTCACATTCAGGTATTCAGTTAGGCTGGGCTGGCCTATGACATTTGCTAGGCTAGGCATGTTAAATGTAATCGATATTTTCAGTTTATGATTGGTTTATCAGGATGTAACCCCATCATAAGCCAAGAGATAGCATCTGGCTATCTGTATGCAAGAATTTAGACAAGGGTGGCTGGAGGTGGGGTCTGGGTGTTGGGGAAAGGTATAGGAGGAGACTGACCTTTCACACATAAGTTTTTTGGCTGTACTGGGGCTTGAACTGAGGCCCTTCACCTTGAGCCACTCCACCAGCCCTATTTTTTTTTTTTTTTTTGGTGAAGAGTTTTTCAAGATAGGGTCTCATAAACTATTTGCCCCGGGCCTGGCTTTGAACCTCCATCCTCCTGATCTCTGCTTCCTGAGTAGCCAGGATTATAAGTGTGAGGTACCAGTGCCCTGCATAATGTCAGTACTTGAGAGACTGAGGCAAGAGGATTGTGAGTTCAAGTCATCTTGGGCTAAAATAAATAAATAAATAAATAAATAAATAAAACCTTTGAAACACTGCACAAGTGTTGTGACTTGAAGCAAATTGGATTCGCCTCAGCCCTCTAAAAGCCTCAGTTCCTTCATCTGTAAAATGAGACAAGTAAAAGCCCTTCTGAGCTGTTGGGAAAGTGACTGGTTCCTCCCTCAGGAGTGGCAAGACCTGCAACTGTTCCACGGGCTCTCTGAGTGACACACAGCCCTGCCTTCGGGAGGGTGAGGAATTGCCGTGCTCAGGCCATGGGGAATGCCAGTGTGGGCGCTGTGTGTGCTATGGTGAAGGCCGCTACGAGGGTCACTTCTGCGAGTATGACAACTTCCAGTGTCCCCGCACCTCCGGGTTCCTCTGCAATGGTGAGCTCAGCATCTGCAGCCTGCATTGAGAGCAGCAAGAGTGACCCTGCCTTGGGGACCCAGGTTGAGAGCCAGCCCCATTTCCAATTTCATGAGTGCCTCTCCCAAGGCCTGCCCCAACCAGGCCCTCACTTTCCTCATCTGTGTGGATGCCCAAGGCCCCTGCTAGCATGACATTCCTCCTCTTTTTGACGCCAGTACCCCTGATGTTCTCTTTGGCAACTCAAGTTGATATCCATCCCCTCATCCCCACTCCCCCCATCCCATCAGGGTGAGGACCACCCAGCTCACCTCTCAGTAATTGGCAGGTATGTGGCAATGTAATCTTTCCTCTCTGCAAAGATGCTACATATCAACCAGCAGGACATGGACTCATGCCTCCCCCAGACCCTCCCAGGGCCTAACACTATGTTGGGCCCAGGCCATGAACACATAGTCTGGTCACAACTATCAGAGCTAGGAAGCAGAGCACAACTCAGACAAAGGGGGCACATGGAAGGAAGGATGCGTAGTTGCCTGGAGGAGGATGAATATTAAGCCCCACTGCCTACTGGCCACTGGAGGTCATACTCTTGCTTCTCTACTCTTTCCTTCATTCTTGGTTTTTTTCGACCATTTTTTCTCTGCAACTGTCCATCCCAGAGTGTGGTGAGAGAAATGAAAGGGAGAACCAGGCACATCTGGAGAAAGGCAGACATTTGGCACAAGTGGAAGTATAAGAGAGAAGGGAGGGAGATGCGTCTGGGTAAGGAGAACGGGTCAAAGTGCATGGGGCTTGGGCTCGAGTCCGGGGCAGGACTTTATCCTTCAGATAAAAAAAGAGTCATTGGGGTTTCCATTTCTTTTTCTAACTCTTTGTTTACCTCGCATCCAGCCACCTTGCTAAATTCACTTATGAAGTGTAAAAATGTATCTATAGATTCTTCTGGATATCTTGTAACACATTGCAGAATAACAGTTTTATTTCTTACTTTCAAGCCTGTTGCCTTGGCCAGGACCCATTAGAGATTCTTAAACAGGGGAACCACGTGATTGGATTTGTGTTTTGAGATGATCACTCTTGTTGTAGAGTAGAAGGCAGAAGGCCGGGTGGAAGGGGAGAGATGGAAGGAAGGAGATTCCAAGAAAGTGTAGAAGAGGTACCTTCCATCCCTGGCTCCAGCAGGCTTTCTGCAGCAGGTGGGCAGCCTGGATTTCAGGTGCAAATACAGCTTTCTTCTTCCTTCCTGATAATCTCTACAGATAGGGGACGCTGCTCCATGGGCCAGTGTGTGTGTGAGCCTGGTTGGACAGGTGCCAGCTGTGACTGTCCCCTCAGCAATGCCACCTGCATCGATAGCAATGGGGTAGGTCAGGGCATGGGGCAGGTAGTGTGGGCAGCAGGGGACTAGTCAAGAAAAAACCCAATGGAGGGGGAGGGGAGCAGTCAGGGATGGGGCATAGCTGGCTTACTGGTGACCTCCTCCTGTCCCAGGGCATCTGTAATGGACGTGGCTACTGCGAGTGTGGCCGCTGCCACTGCGACCAGCAGTCGCTCTACACAGACACCACCTGTGAGATCAACTACTCAGCGGTGAGGCCAGGATCACTGGTTGTGGGCACTAGACAGAATGGGAAGGAGGGGCTGAGCCTGGTGTCATCGGAGGTGACCAAGGGTATGAAGCTGGGGGAGTGGGGCCTGCCCAGCACAGTGCCTATCTGCTCCTCTCCCTCCCCAGATCCGCCTGGGCCTCTGTGAGGACCTGCGCTCCTGTGTGCAGTGCCAAGCTTGGGGCACCGGGGAGAAGAAGGGGCGCTCGTGCCAGGAGTGCAGCTTCAAGGTCAAGATGGTAGATGAGCTTAAGAAAGGTAAGGGGCAGGATCCAAAAGCTGAGGTGCTGGTAGGGGCACCCAGTAGGGCAAGGGCATCCATTCCCTCCTCTAGGCATGAGGCTAGAAATCTGAGTTGAGGTCGCACAGTCCAGAGGAGATTTCCAGACCTGGAAGGGTCCATAGGACCCAGATAGGGGACACTGAGTCCAGGAAAGGGTACAAAGTTGGGGTAAGAGGGACAAAACCCAGGCAAGTGCTTACATAGTCTAACCCAGAGTATATAGAACAGGGACAGGGACCACACAGTCTGACTACAGGACACACAGTTGAGTAGGGGTCAAGAGCCTGGGGAGGAGGCACCTGGTGTGGGCAGGGGCATGACCACAACACAGGCACACTGTGGGGCTAGAAGGTACACGGTCTCCTCACTTCCAGGTCAGATACACTGGCTGGACACCAAACTCCTGGGTGGTGCCTGGCTCAGGGAAGTAGGGGAGATAAATTTTCAGGCCCTGATGCTGCTGGGACCGGCCCTGGGCAGGGCAGCCCCCACCTTGCCCTGTCCCTGTGCAAGGAAGGGAAGGGAAGCGCTTGAGGGGACTGACCCTCTTCCCCAAGGAGGTACCTCAGGCTCTGCAGTGGGCGGAGTGGGCCACACCTCGCCAGGCTCTGGGGAGCTCTAGGGGCCAGGCATGGGGTCAGGGCACACCACTGACTGTCTGTGGGTGCAGCTGAAGAGGTAGTGGAGTCCTGCTCCTTCCGGGACGAGGATGATGACTGCACCTACAGCTACACTGTGGAGGGTGACGGCAGCCCTGGGCCCAACAGCACCGTTCTGGTCCACAGGAAAAAGGGTGAGCCGGAGGGCAGGTGTGGGGAGTCCAGGGAGCGAGTGCCTGTCAGGCCACAGTTGGACATGAGCACCACCTCCCTGCTCCTGCCTTCTCCTAGACTGTCCTCCTAACTCCTTCTGGTGGCTCATCCCCCTGCTCATCTTCCTCCTGCTGCTCTTGGCACTGTTGCTGCTGCTTTGCTGGAAGTATTGTGCCTGCTGCAAGGTGAGGCCCCCAGGGTCTTCCCTGGTCCCAAACCCACCAAGTCCCATCCTTCCCATGCTTCTCCAGAAACCCAGCCAGAGACTGCAGCCTGAGTCCTGATCCCAGCTCTATGACATTGAGCAAGTTATATGATCACTCTGTGCCTCAGTTTTCTCATCCATACAATGAAGATAGTAGAAGCAACCCCAGAAAGTGGTGATGAAACTTAAATAACTTACATAAAGTTCTCAGAAAGGGCTGGCCCATCATAAACACCATATTAGCTGTGTGCTGGTGTCTCACACCTATATTCCTAGCGTCTTGGGAGACTGAGTTCTGGAGAATTACAGTTCAAGACCGAGTAATTCACAAGACCCCCATCTCCAAAATAACCAGAGCAAAATCTACGGGAAGGTGTGGCTCAAGTGGTAGAGTGCCTGCTTTGCAAGCATGAAGCCCTGAGTTCAAACCCCAATCCCACCAAAGATTTAAAAAATGAAAAAATTAAAATAAACACCATATTAAATCTTGGCTTATTTTCACTCCTTCCTGAACCTGGCTCCTGAAGGCCCCACTAACCCAGCCCTGAGCCCCATGTCCCTTCTACTTGACAGCAGTGATGACAGGGCCTTGGAATCCTCTAGCACTGAATTGTCCTTAAGCACCCTCTCTCTTCCCTCCCCCACACCCCACCGAACAGTCCCTGAGGCAGGATCCAGCTCCTGCTTCAGTTCAGTGTGGCTGGCTGTGCTATCAGGACAATATGTGTCCACATGGCCCCGTTTTCTCCTTTCCATCACCCTGTGGGGCCAATGGGGCCAGGATAGGTTCACTATCCCTTATGACAGATGGAGAAACTGAGGCTCAGATGGATAAGCGATCTATACAAGGTCCTTGTAATTATCTGAGGCAAGGGAAACTCCCATGTGCTCCTACCCCAACCTCCCTCAACCAACCATTAGTAACCCAGCAGGATTCCAGGAGTACTTGCCCTGGGGTCAGCCCCCTGCAAAGGGCCTGAGTGCCACACCTGGGAAGGCAGGACCTGCCCACCAGGAGCTAACAGCCTGGCTGGGGAGAACACACCAGAAGCAGGAAAGTGTAGAGTGTGGCTCATTGTGGAATGCTGACAGGATGCTGTTCTAAGCCCTGGTATTGTGGGATATTCATGTGTGTTACATGCAAATATGAGTACATTTTGAGACAAAGGTTTCTTCTCCTCAGGACTTCTCAGAGCCTTTGATCTAGTCATTTACATAACGAACCCACAGGGGAGCTATGAGTGAGGAGTCCCTACCTGGTCTGGGGCAGCTATCCTAGCCCTCACCCCTACCCCTCTTGTCTCCTAGGCCTGCCTGGCATTGCTCCCTTGCTGTAACCGAGGTACGGGACGTTTGTGGGGCTGGGACTGTTTTTTCTCCAAACTGGGGGCCAAGCTAGCAGCAGAGGAGGTGGAAAGCCCTAGGTCACTCGGTAGGTCCAGGGAGCGACCTGAGCTGAGGACCTTTCCCTGCAGGTCACATGGTGGGCTTTAAGGAAGACCACTACATGCTGCGCGAGAACCTCATGGCCTCAGACCACCTGGACACACCCATGCTGCGCAGCGGGAACCTCAAGGGGCGTGACATGGTCCGCTGGAAGATCACCAACAATGTGCAGAGACCTGGCTTTGCCACCCATGCTGCCAGCACCAACCCCACAGAGCTGGGTGAGGCCCTGGGCTGGGCACTGTGGCTCTTGGCAGCATCCTTGGGGACCTGTCTTCCAGACCTTGGATGGTACCATTCCTGTTTCCCCTGGTAGTTAGGTGCACGCACGGGTCTTGCCTGCTTTTGCTCCTTCTGATGACACTGCACATCTCGGGCCTGCTTTCTGCAGCCAGGCTCCCGGTCCTAGCATGATTCCTGGAGGGCATGCTCGTCCCTGCCCACCAAGCAGGAGCTGATGAAGCCCCTCCCTCCTGCTTGCTCCTAGTGCCCTATGGGCTGTCCCTGCGCCTTGCCCGCCTCTGCACGGAGAACCTGATGAAGCCTGGCACCCGAGAGTGTGACCAGCTGCGCCAGGAGGTGGAGGAGAATGTGAGAACCTAAAGCTGCTGAGTGGGGGCTGCGGGTCTGGGTGCAGTGGCAACTGGGTGGGACAGAAGAGGTCAGCAGCCACAGAACCTAGGACTTTTCCAGGCTGGAAAAGTGAGCTCTTTGGACAAACGTCTGGCATGGGATCATTCTAGGAGGCAGAGCCTGGTCTTAGGATTGGGTCCCTCCCTCCCTCCCCTGGCATGTCCAACCCTGAGAGGCCCTCTGAAAAGAGCCTGCCTGGCTCCCCAGTCCCATCCTCACGGGATCCCCCCCGCCTCCCATTCTCTGGCAGCTGAACGAGGTATACAGACAGGTCACCGGTGCACACAAGCTCCAGCAAACAAAGTTCCGGTGAGTTCCAGGCGCCTAGGTAGTGGAGGTGGGAGGTGAGAGTAGGGGAGGAGAGGCAGCCTAACTGTACTGGGCCCAGCCAGGCCCAGGCCAGGCAGCCAGGGTCCCCAGGTTAGGTGGGAGCTGCTCATACAGTGACTGCAGGAGCTCACACCCCCAGGAAGAGCATGCTCCACCCCAGGGACAGTACGGCTCACAGTCTCCTCTTGTCCGAACAGGCAACAGCCAAACGCCGGGAAAAAGTGAGTTGAAGATGCAACTCCAGCCCATCTGCTTCCCCTCCACCTGCATCTCCATCCCGCAGGAAGGGGGCGGAGGGCCATATGTGTCTGTCATAGGCTAGCCCGTTAGTCATCCCTTCCTTTACTGGACCATCCTTTCAACAAATACTGAGAAGCACTTGCCATGCAGCAGCCCCTTAACTGGAACAGCAAAACCACCCAGGCCAGTTCCTGCCCCCACCCAGCACCAAGAGTAGCCCAGGGCCCAGCTCATCCTCTCAGGGCCAGAGACCCTCATGCTGAGTGGAAGGCAGGTCACAGCTCTTTCCTCAGTTCCTCCTGGGTCCTGGCCCTTTGGGAGAAGCACGATGATGAGGTCGCAATGCAGAGACAGAACTAGGATGACAGTGTGTGGCTGTCAGTAGGAAGGGTACTGGCCAGCACTTTTGAGTGCTTACAATGGGCCAGGCATTCCTTAAGGGCTCCATGTTCCTGATCATCTTAGCCAGCTCTCTCAGCAACCCTGTGAGGGAGGAACCACCACTATTCCCACTCTCAGATGAGGAAACAGAGGCTCAGAGAGGCTAAGTCACTTGCCCAAGGTTATCTAGCTGTCAGAAGCCAGAGCCAGGATTTGAACCCAGGCAGTCTGACTTGAGTTCCCAGGCCTCTGGCTTCTTTGCTGTCGCATCCAGTCCTCATCTCACCAGGTGGTGAGGCAGGTGGGGAAGCCCCTTTCTCAGGTGAGGACACTGAGGTTCTGCAGCAGTTTGGCTCTGCCTGGCTCTCAATACCTGTACTTCCTGCTGTCTCATGTCTTGCGCACTGCTCGGGGAGAGGACAGGAAGAGGCAGGGGCAGGTGCCAGGCTGACACCTCCCCCATCCCCGCACCCACCCAGGCAAGACCACACCATTGTGGACACAGTGCTGATGGCGCCCCGCTCGGCCAAACAGACTCTGCTAAAGCTGACAGAGAAGCAAGTGGAGCAGGGGGCCTTCCACGAGCTCAAGGTGGCTCCTGGCTACTACACTCTCACTGCAGAGCAGGGTAGGTAGGCAGCTCCCTGCACTGCTGCCTCACCCCCCACAACCTGTGTGAGCCCAAGACCCACGTGTGACCCCCCACAGATGCCCGAGGCATGGTGGAGTTCCAAGAGGGTGTGGAGCTGGTGGACGTGCGTGTGCCCCTCTTCATCCGGCCTGAGGATGACGATGAGAAGCAGCTGCTGGTGGAGGCCATCGATGTGCCTGTGGGCACTGCCACTCTTGGCCGCCGCCTGGTAAACATCACCATCATCAAGGAGCAAGGTTGGTCAGAGTGAGGGGAGCAGGAAGACAGGAGGGGTATTTGAGCACCCTGTCTCCTCTGATATCCTACTGGAAACAAGACATGGCATGTGGCCTGGGCTGGTCTTTAACCTCTGCAAGCGTTAGATTTTACATCTTTAAAAGCAAGCGGGAGCTTCTTTGAGCACCATCCTCTATGGAGAGGTGGGCTTGGGGCACTTGCTGAACCATGGATACCCATGAGATGAAGTGATTGTCCTCCTACCATCCATAGGGCCCCTGACCTCTCTGCCCTGCTGCCGGACCCTCAGCCCCTGAATCTCAGGACTCTACTTGCCTGACCCTTCTGAGATGCCCCTCCACTTTTTCTAGAATCTCTATCCTATTCCTCTGCCTTCCTTAGAGGACAGTGAGGTGACTTAACAAGCAGATTCCTGGAGTCCGGGCTGGGTCAGAGGAAGGGCAGGAGCTGAGAAGCTACTGAAGGCAGATCCCTTAACCAGAACCTGGGTTACTTGCAGCCAGCGGGGTGGTGTCCTTTGAGCAGCCTGAGTACTTGGTCAGCCACGGGGAGCAAGTGGCCCGCATTCCTGTTGTCAGGCGCATCCTGGACAATGGCAAATCCCAGGTCTCCTACCGCACTCAGGACAACACAGCCCAGGGCAATCGGGTAAGGATTTGTCATGGGTCAAGGGTTCATCTCAGGTCCAGCGTTCAACCATTGAGTCCTAGGACACAGCAGGTCAGATGCCAGAGTCCCTAGATACTGGTGGTGCCCTCAACTGGCCTATCAAGGACAATCCACGTGCCCCTGCCACCCTTGGTAGAGGTAGCTACCTCATTCAAAGTGTCAGTGGCAGGCTGGACAAAGCCCCACTGCTGCCAGGGACTAGGCCCAAAACCTCCCTTTCTCCTGGACACAGCAGGAACCTGTCCAGGCCATTCCTGTCCACTTTTCAGTGACCCAGATCCACCAGGATGGCCAGGCCTTTCCTGGAGAAATGGACCTCCTATCTGTCTCACGTGGAGGCTTTGGGCTTCCTCAGCTGGTATTGCAGGCCCTATGTCCTTGGGCCAGCTTCCCCAACTCAGAGAAGACCATGGCTTTGGCTGGTGTCCCCTTCATTTCAGAGTCCCAGTATTGGAAACAGCCAAAACCAAGTGGTAGTGGTAGTCATGCTTGGTTTTGCTTACAGGTTTGGTTTTGTTTTGTTTTGTGGTACTGGGGTTTGATTTCAGGGCCTACACCTTGAGCTACTGTTTTTTCGAGATGGGGTCTTGTGAGCTATTTGCCCGGGTTGGCTTCGAACCATAATCCTCCTGATCTCTGCCTCCTGAGTAGCTAGGATTACAGGTGTGAGCCACCAGTGCTTGGCTGTTTTTGTTTTTAATTCTGAATTTATTACCAACATTTAAGAACAAAAATAGAGCTGGGTGGGGTGGCTCACACCCATAATCCCAGCTACCAGGAGGTGGAGGCAAGAGGATTGTGAGTTCAGGGCCAGTCCAGGAAGTTATGGAGACCCTGTCTCAAAAACAAAATGAAAGCAAAAGGACTGGAGGCATAGCTCAAGTGGTAGAGTGCTTGCCTAGCATATGCAAGACCCTAGATTCAATCCCAGTACCTAAATAAATACTAAAAATATTCATATCAAAAAGTCACTCAAAGTAATACAGTGTAGCACACTTGGCTCAGAGGCCCATTTGGCACACACAGGGGAACATGCCTGAGCAGGCCCAGGCAACTCAGCCACACCCTGGATTTCTTTACTTCACTTTATTTGGTAGGAACAATACTGATCACTACTCCAAAACTCCCAATAAAAATTCCAAAGAAGAATTTGTACATTCATAAATCCCTCTGATTATGCCACATTGTACCAGAGATTCTGGCTATCCTCTTATGCTTGCATGTTTGGCTAGCTAACTTTAAAAAATTATATTAGTTCTCACCTTTTTATTTTGAAAAACTTCAAACATATAGAAAAATGGGAAGACTATTAATATTAGTCACCAACTGTAATATTTGCTTTTCCTCTCTTTCTATACCTATGTATATAGATAGCTTACACAGATAAAGACATTCATACCTATATATCTGTGTGTAAGGGGGGACAGTTGTTTGTTTTGCCTGATGGACTATTCAAAGTTGCAGACATTGAGGCTGAAGGTGTGGCTCAAGTGATAGAGCACCTGCCTAGCAAGTGCAAAGCCCTGAATTCAAACTGAGTACTATCAAAAAAAAAAAAAAAAGAAAAGAAAGTTGTAGACACCAGGACCCTAAACCCTTCTACCCTAAACCCTACATGATGAGAACATAATTGCAAAACTAAAGAAGTTTCATATCGATTCTACGAGTTCCTAATAATTAGACCCTATGCAGACCTCCCCTTGTGCCCATGTCCCTGTAACACCCTTTATAGCTTTTTCCCCCAATCTGGGAACCAGTCAAGGTTTAATGTTGCATTTTTTTGATCATGTGTCTTTAGTCTTTTTAAAATCTAGAATGGTTCCCTGGTTGTCTTTTCTAAGACTGACATTTTTGTTTGGTTGGTTTGATTTGGTTTTCTGAGATGGTGTATTGCTGTGGAGCCCAGGCTGGCCTGGAACTCAAGGTCCTGCTGTCTCAAAATAACATGCTTCTTTGAGCTGGAATTGCAAGACCTCCAGAAGCCGAACACTGGCTTCTTCTTTTTCTTTTTTTTTGTTGGGACTGGGGTTTGAACTCAGGGCTTTGCACTTACAAAGGAAGTGCTCTCCCACTTGAGCCACACCTCTAGTCCAATTTGCCCTGGAAATTTTGGAGATGGCACTGGTGGCTCATGTCTGTAATTGTAGCTACTTGGGAGGTTGAAATCAAAGAATCACTGTTTGAGGCCAGCTCAGACAAAGAGTGTGCAATACCCCATGTCCAAAAATAACCAGAGCAAAAATGGAGTGGAGGTGTGGCTCAAGTGGTAGAGCCCCTGTTTTGCAAGTGCAAAGCCCTGAGTTCAAACCCCAGACCCACCAAAAAACCAAAAACTCTTTCAATGGAGATGGGGTCTTGCAAACTGTTTGCCTGGGCTGGCTTCAAACTGTGATCCTCTGATCTCAGCCTCCCAGGTCGCTAGGATTACAGGTGTGAGCCACCAGTGCCCAGCTGACACTGGCATTTTTTTTTTTTTTTGGTGGTATTGGGGTTTGAACTCAGAGCCTTACGCTTGCTAGGCAGGCGCTCTACCACTTAAGCCACTCCACCAGCAACACTGGCATTTTTGAAGTGCCCACATCAGCTGTTTGCAAACAGCTCCCTATAGCCCGGCGCCAGTGGCTCAAACCTGTAATCCTAGCTATTCAGGGGGCAGATATCAGGAAGATGGCGGTTCAAAGCCAGACTTGGGCAATAGTCTGAGAACCGATCTCGAATAAACCCTTCATGAAAAAGGGCTGGTGGAGTGGCTCTGCAAGGTGTAAGGCCTGAGTTCAAACCACAGTACCACAAAAAACAAAACAAAACAAAAAAAACCTCCTTGTTTTTCTTTTTTGAAGATTAGTTCATTTACTCATTCCCAACAGGTTAGAGATTAAGGTAAACTGGAGTAGTGGGGATTTTTTTCTTGGTGGTCCTGGGGTTTGAAATCAAAAGCTTTGTGCTTGGCCCTCTACCACTTGAGCCACACCTCCAGCCCCACCCTTAGTTGTTTTTTTTTTTTCTTTTATTCATATGTGCATACGATGTTTGGGTCATTTCTCCCCCCTTCCCCCGCCTTAGTTTTTTTTCTACCTTCAGGCTTCCTTTTCTGTTCTGGGTGGAGCCTAGCCTGACTAGCCACGCCTGGAATTGAAATGTTTGAATCGCCACCTCGTGGTCATGTGTGAGAAGGCCTCTTTCCTCCCCGTTGAAATTCGCACACACAGACACACACAACCCCTCTAGGAAGCGCAGGCAAGCTCCAGGACATTGAAAGAGGAAAGCTGGGGCTACAGAGTCTGGGAGGCTGAGATCCCACATTTCAGAGCCAGTGTGGAGGAAAGACAGTTCTCCTGGATGGGGACTACAAACTCAGGGCTTCCTCCCAGCCTGAGTTCAGACATCAGTGGTGTGGCTCAAGTGGGAGAGCACTTGCCTAGCAAGCACAAGACCTTGAGTTCAAACCCCAGTACTACCCAAAAAAACAACAACAAAAAAAGTGATACTGAAAGGTGCAATGTAAGTACAAACCATTTCGTGTCTACCTCAACAGTCCTTGTAACAGACTGCAGTACCATGAGGGTGTGATCATAACCCCGTGTGTTCCCCTAAATTCTTTTTTCTTTCTTTTTATGGTTTTTTTTTTTTTTTGAGACAGGGTCTCAAAGGACCAAGGCTGGCCTTGAACTCATGATCCACCTGCCTCAGCCTCTCAAAGTGCTGGGATTATAGGCCTGTACCACCATACCCAGCTTCCCAGAAGGCTCTAATTTCCCAGTTGCCTCATCCCCCAGCCCTCGTTTGACTCTGACCCTTTCCACTCTCAGGACTATGTCCCAATGGAGGGTGAGCTGCTGTTCCACCCTGGGGAGACCTGGAAGGAGTTACAGGTGAAGCTCCTGGAGCTGCAGGAAGTAGATTCCCTCCTGCGAGGACGCCAAATTCGCCGCTTCCATGTCCAACTCAGCAACCCCAAGTTCGGAGCCCGCCTGGGCCAGCCCCAGTCGGCCACAGTCATCATTGGAGAGCCAGGTGGGCTAAACCTGGGGCCAGCACAGGCAGGTGGAGAGAGGGGCTGGGGATCTGTCAACGGGGGCTGCCAAACTCAGCCAACAAGACATGGCGGTACCAGGTCAGGTCGGGGGTGGGGGGCTCACACCAGTTTAATGTGAACTTCACATATGCAGCAAACACTTCTATCAGAGAGGTTGAGATCATGTGGCCACAGGACCTGAATCTCCCTTCCCCCACCCCCCTTTAGATCCTAGCATTTTGACCTCGGCCTTAAGCTTTCATTCTTGGAAGGGTGAGCCAGTTAGTTCCTGTCAGTCCTTAGCCTCCAGAGTGGTGGTGGTGGTGGTGGTGGTGGTAACTGTGAGTCCAGCCTGCCAGGAAGACAGAAGAGGGAGATACTGGAGGTGAGGGGTGGAGAGTGGAGGGAAGAGCTGGGGGCTGGGAGCAGACGTTCTCTTGGCTACCAAGGGAGAAAGAGGGGCAGGAGAATTCTGTCTTCCTGTTCATTCATCCATCCAGAGAGCCCCTGGGTCTCCATTTAGGCTTTTTGTGCTGCCTCTGTGGCCCAAAGCCCAGAGAGGAGGGTGGACAGGTCTCAGTTGAACCTCTGGGTGAGGAAGCGTGGTGTGTTGAGCTGAGTCTCTGCTGCCCCCTGGTGGTGAAGGGGGTCTGAGCCTGTTGCCCCATTCCTGTCTTGACTCACTAGATGAACTGGACCGGAACCTTGTCAGTCAGGCCCTTTCATCACTGCCACCCCCTCGTGGTGACCTGGACGCTCCACAGAACCCCAATGCCAAAGCTGCTGGTTCCCGGAAAATCCATTTCAATTGGCTTCCCCCTCCTGGCAAGCCAACAGGGTACAGGGTAAGATGGGGGTAAACGGGCAATGAGGGTGGATGGTCATCCATCACTACTACTGGAGAGGTGGGCCTCCCCGAGGGAGGGGGAGTGCATGCTTGATACCAGAAGGACCCCAGTCTATGCCCAGGAAGAGGAATGGCCCATTCCTGAGCTTTTCAGGGATTTCCCCTCCTTCCTGGAATGGAGCCTCTCCGCCTGCCTCAGAGACACCCTGCTCTGCCCCAGCCCTGCTGTGTGAAGCCCCAGTGTTTCACCTGTGCACAGGGGTCAGTGGAGAGACAAGCAGCTTTAACACTTGTGGCTCCCTACTGACCAGCCCCTCGCACTCTGAACAGGTGAAGTACTGGATCCAGGGTGACTCCGAGTCTGAAGCCCACCTGCTAGACAGTAAGGTGCCCTCGGTGGAACTCACCAACCTGTACCCTTACTGTGACTACGAGATGAAGGTGTGTGCCTATGGAGCACAGGGCGAGGGGCCCTACAGCTCCCTGGTCTCCTGCCGCACCCACCAGGAAGGTGAGGCCTAGTCACATCCCTCCTTCCACCCCAGCGATCCTGCTGCCAGCATGCCCAGCCTGGCCTCCCTGTCTCCCAGAGCTTGGTTTTCCCTCTGCCACTAACAGGGCTCTTCCTGCCCCCTCCCAGTACCCAGCGAGCCAGGGCGTCTGGCCTTCAATGTGGTCTCTTCCACGGTGACCCAGCTGAGCTGGGCGGAGCCTGCTGAGACCAATGGCGAGATCACAGCGTACGAGGTCTGCTATGGCCTGGTCAACGAGGACAACCGTAAGGACTGGACCCCTCCTTCCTGGCCCCAGGGACAGCAGCTGTAGAAAGGGAGGGACAATTAACCCGAAAGAGGCTGGGACTCTGGGTCTTTCCTGGGCCCTCTGTCCCAGTCAGCAGATAAGCCTGAGGCATTGTGGGGTTTTTTGGTCAGATTTGGGCCTGGCTGCATTCCATAGATGCACCCTGAGGTCACAGGCCCAGGAGCACCTTCTGTACTGATAACCAAGGGTGGCTCATTTTTACCACATTCTCTTAGAACCAGAACACAGTTGCCACATTTAGCTTATAAAAACACAGCATGGCCAGGCACCAGTGGCTCATGCCTGTAATCCTAGTTACTCAGGAGGCAGAAATCAGGAGGATTGAGGTTCGAAGCCAGCCTGGGCAACGAATAATTCATGAGACCCTATCTCGAAAAACCCATCACAAAAAAAAAGGGCTGGTGGATTGGCTCAAGGTGAAGGGCCTCCCTGAGTTCAAGCCCCAGTACCACAAAAAGAAAAAACACAGAATGTGAGGCAGGAGAATCACTTGAACCCCAGAGTTCAAGAACTGACCTGACAACATAGTGAGAACCCTTCTCAAAAACAAAAGTAATACAGGATGCCCTGAATTTCAGATAAACATTTTTAAAAAATATTTTATAAAATCCCTAGGACATACTACCTGGCAGAATGTTTATTTCTTCCCCATCCTGGAAGGGAAGCAAAAGTGGGCAGCCTCTACCACTGTCAAGATGAACGTCCCATCTCTAACCTGGTGTAGGACAGCAGGAATTTCTGGGTATCGGGCTTGTAGGGGAGAAGGGGCTGCCTTGGTTTTTTTGAGACAGGGTCTCAATGTGATTTTTATGTGTGTGTAGGGGGGTACTGGGGTTTTGAACTCAGGACCTACACCTTAAGCCACTCCACCAGCCCTTTTTTGGGACTGGTTTTTTCAAGATAGGGTCTTGCAAACTATTTGCCTGGGCTGGCTTTGAACTGCGATCCTCCTGATCTCTGCCTCCTGAGTAGTTAGGATTACAAGTGTGAGTTGCCAGCACCCGGCAGCAACTATGTAGCCAATGTAGCACTATGTAGCCAAGGCTGGCCTGGAACTCACTATGTAGCCCAACTGGCTTTGAACTCACAATCATCCTGCCTCAGCCTTCCCAGTGCTGGGATTACAGAAGTAATCCTCCTGATCTCTGCCTCCTGAGTAGCTAGGATTACAGACATGAGTCACCAGTGCCCAGCCCAAACAGCAGTTTTCTCAGCAGCTCCATCACAGCCTTGGCTTGCTTGCAACATTAAGGTCCATTTGTGGACCATGCTTGGGAGGGCTCCTCTGGCCTGGCCTATAACCCCAATGAAAGGTCACTGCCGATGGTTTCAGCTATGGTTCCAGTCTGCTGAGGCCTCAAATGTGTCATGGAACAGTCCCCTCCCCCACTTTGAGGGTATCTGCACTTTGGTGTGCACCCTTTTCTCTTCATCCCAGGAGCTAGCAGAGGTGAAGAGAGTAGGCCAAGACCACGCCCATCACAGCTATTGGAGACCCTTCCTCCAGGCTGCTGGGTGTCTGTCAACCTTGCTGGAGCTGCACATCAACCTTCTCAGTTGTCATTTTCCAGAATTCTCCTCTGGATGTCTTGGGAAAACAGAACTCCATTCCTTTATACCTTCTCTGGTCTCCCTGAATTTCCCAACCTATCACCTCTGGCCAGTGCCGTTAATTCACTTAGAACTCACAGAGAGCAGCTGGGCCTCTCACCCTCTGCTTTCCCAAAGCCATGCTTCTAGATGTGAATGGAGAACTGCCTTGGCCTCTGCCATCTGCTATGACATTGCCAGCCCTGAACCTCCACTTCACCCTGTCCTCCTTAGCTTCCCAAGCCTGTTCCTCCTGAGTTGCAGCCTCTTTGAGCCCACTTCTCTCCTCCTGTAGTTCCTGTGGCCACAACACCCAAGGGTGATAGTGGTGGTGGGTGAGCAGGTTGCCTGTGTCTCTGCTTCCTCAGCCCAGCTTTGGGCACTGGGTTGTCAGCCATGAGCACAGGGTGGGAGGACGTCATCCCAAGAGTACCCTTGCCTCCTGAGTGAGCCTCTTGTAGGCCACTCAGTAGAGATGACAGCAGGGCCACACTGAGTCTAGTGCTGGCTCTGCAACTCACTTAGCAATGAGTCCTTTGCCTGGTGAGACGCTCCTAAGCCAGTCATGCCCAGGTTCTAAGGGCTTGTCAGGTGACAGAATTCAGCAGTTGTGTGCTCCCAGACAGCCCCAGGAGCAGTTCAGGTCTATACAGTAGTCCCTCTAGGTCAGGGCCAGGGCTGGATCCTGGGTGACCCCTCTGAAGCACTCTCCCCATCTCAGGACCCATTGGACCCATGAAGAAGGTGCTGGTGGACAACCCCAAGAACCGAATGTTGCTCATTGAGAACCTTCGAGAATCCCAGCCATACCGCTACACAGTGAAGGCGCGCAACGGGGCAGGCTGGGGGCCTGAACGGGAGGCCATCATCAACCTAGCCACCCAGCCTAAGCGGCCCATGTCCAGTGAGTAGTGGGTGAAGAGGTGCAGGGTGAGCCAGGAGACAAGAGGCCACAGCTAGGGCCCTGGCTCACCCCCTCCCACCTTGCAGTCCCCATCATCCCAGACATCCCCATTGTGGATGCCCAGGGCGGGGAAGACTACGAAAGCTTCCTCATGTACAGTGATGACGTCCTGCGCTCCCCGGCTGGCAGCCAGAGGCCCAGCGTCTCTGATGACACTGGTGAGTGAATCCACAAGAAGAAATTGGGTGCCCTGGGTACAGGATGGAGCTGTCCCTGGTGTCCAGAGAGAGCAAAAGGGCCAGCAATTACAGGGCATGGAGATGGAGGCTGGAAGTTCCCTCAGCCTCAAACATCCAGAGCCCCTGTAGCACTGAGTACAGAAGGGACTGTTATTGTGGGCCATATGCAGTTGTGCACACCTGTGTTTGAGAACATGCAAACACTGTCTGGGGGACAGACACACCCAGGATGGTGGTCATGTAAACGCTGGTTCATGACATGGGACTACAGCTTTGCAAACTGAAGGTTCACCAGCTGGGCTTTGGAGTTAGTACACTCAGGCCATCCCTTTCCCACATCCCCAGGAGCAGGTCCTTGTAAGAGGATGTCTGCCAGGCCCAGGACCCTTAAGCAGCCTTGGCAGGGGTGGGGGGAACCCATGAGGTAGAGACGGGCTCAGTTTGCTCCATTCCTCCCTCCTTGATTCCTGGCACACTGTGGTGTAAAAACGGCCCTTTGCTGGGACTCCTGAGTGTGCTGTTTTAGCTCTGGCTCCACCGTGGGACCCTGGATAAAAATTCACCTTCTCTGTCCCTGTTTTTTCTGTAAAATGGACCACTAATTACACAATGCTATGCGTAGGAAATCCCCCATGGTATCCTATGGTATTCTCATCCTCCCTTGTCCAGTGCCTCATGTTCCCCTCTCTCCCCCACCCCAGTGAGCACACTGCCCCTAGGGGCTGAGCTTGGGCTCTCCAACTGTTTCTGAGGGTTCCCAGTTCAGCTGCTGCTAGCACCCTGGGGGCTTCCAGAACTGTCACTGGGAGGCAGGCCGGTCTCAGTATTTACTCTGCATTGTGTAGACAGGAGACAGGCCCAGTGTAGTTCAGTAGCAACAGAAACTACATGGCGGTGACAGTGCCCAGGCCCCCAAGTCAGTGGCTGCTGCCTGATCTTTCCTCCCACTTGTGGCGGAAGCTGCGCTCGCTCAATCGGAAGGGCTCAGGCAGGCGAGTTTCCTCTGTCGCCGGGCCTCCCTATCCCTTAAGTGCAGGGTCACCCGCACCAACACCCCTGGACGTGAGAGCCGGGAGGACGGGCTCCATCGCGGTGCTGCTGGCCCCCTCTGCCCGGCCTTGCCGCCGCGAACCCCCGGCGGCGCCAACCGGCCCTTCGTTGTTCCCAAGGCGGTGGCTGGAAGTTCGAGCCCCTGCTGGGGGAGGAGCTGGACCTGCGAAGCATCACGTGGCTGCTGCCCCCGGAGCTCATCCCGCGCCTGTCGGTCAGCAGCGGGCGCTCCTCCGACGACAGCGGCACGGGGGGCGCGGCCAGGGAGGGAGGCGGCCGGGCCCGCGCAGCGACGCCCCGGCCTCCCGGAGGTGACCGCCTGCCCGGCCGCACCCCACCCCAGCCCCACCGAGGCTCGTCTGCGCCCACCGGCTGGAGGCCTGAATGGGCACTTGGGCCGCCTCGGGCCCCCAGTTTCCGGAAGCTGCCCACTAGTGTGCCCTGCTCTGCCAAGTCCTGCAATTCGGGACACAACAGCCTCCGGGGCCAAGGGACGCCATGGCAGGCGCTGGCTCTCCCCCGAGGGAGGACAGGGGCACTGGTATCCATTTCAGCGCCCACCTCGCTGGGGCATACAACTTGAGATGCCTGTTGTGTCCAAGAGGAAGACCCTACTACCCAAGGCTCTCTCCTCAGAGCCTCAGGAGACTTGAGGGCAGGTTCACGACAGGAGAGGAAGGCCCCAGCTGAGGCGGCTGTGCTCACATGGTCTGCAGAGCCAGAGAACAAGGGCTAGGGAGGCCTGTGTGGCTCTCGGATGCCTCTGGAGTCATAGGGCTTCAGCCCCTGTAATTTGAGGGAGACTGGTTTCTACTCCAAGACTCCCCAGAGGGCAGGGAGCCCACCAGGGCCACAGCCAGTCCAACAGGGCAGGAGGTCTGCTGCAGGCCACACTAACTGGTCCCTTTCTCCCTCAGAGCACTTGGTGAATGGCCGGATGGACTTTGCCTTCCCGGGCAGTGCCAACTCCCTGCACAGGATGACTGCGGCCAATGTGGCTTATGGGACCCACCTGAGCCCACACCTGCCCCACCCAATGCTGAGCACATCCTCCACCCTCACACGTGACTACCACTCTCTGACCCGCACAGAACACTCACACTCTGCCACTCTGCCCAGAGACCGCTCTACCCTCACCTCCCTCTCCTCCCAGGGTAAGCAGCCCCCACCAACTCCGCCTTGCCCACAGACCTTCCAGCTCCTGGAGACCTCAAGTGTTGGCCTGCCCACCCTCACAGGCTCCCGGTGCCTCTCACTCTTCTTTTGTCCTGCCCTAGGCCTCCCTCCCATTTGGGAAGACGGGAGGAGCAGGCTTCCGCTGTCCTGGGCCCTGGGGTCCTGGAGTCGAGCTCAGATGAAGGGGCTCCCCAACTCCAGGGGCTCCCGAGACACTATAATCCTGGCTGGGCAGCCAGCATCACCATCCTGGGGTCCAGGTAGTATAGAGGTGGCCACCTGTTTCCTGCTTCATCTACCATCCAGCCACTATCACAGGCCTATGCTCACACACTGCCTTAGCCTCATTCCATGCACAGGACTCCTGCCCACCAACAGGAGCTAACCACTGCACCACTCTCATCAGTGCTGAAGCCTAACACAGCCTCTGCCCTTTGGGGGTGTATACAATGCTGGGGCAAGGGGAGGAGCCAGGCCAGCTGCAGAAGGGGTAGGGCTAGCAGACTCATAGTTCACCTTCTCCAAGGCTGTGTGATATCCTGGGTGGCCTGGACAGTGTTGCAGGATGAGTGAGTTGCCCAGCCAGCCATGGAAAGTGTATGCCAGTCAAGAAAGCCAAGCCAGAGGATAGAACTGTGACTCTAGAGACCCCAGCCCCTGCTTCTTGGACTGACTGTGGCCTTGTTTCCAGATTTCCATATGGCTGTGGGCGTACCTGACACACCTACCCGGCTGGTGTTCTCTGCCCTGGGGCCCACATCTCTGAAAGTGAGCTGGCAGGAGCCACAGAGCGAGCGTGTGCTGCTGGGGTACAGCGTGGAGTACCAGCTGCTGAATGGGGGTGAGGTGCACCCCTACCAGGCCTAGCAGCATGCATCACAGGGGCACCCCAGTTGGACCAGGAACCTTCTCAAATTCTACATGAGTGCTCCACTCAGCCTTTCTGAGAGGGTCTCTCACCCCACACTCCCTATTCCCCTTCATGGCTTCCTTTTCTCTTTTCCTTTTATCATTTTTACATTTATTTACATGTGTATACATTGTTTGGGCCACCTCCCTCCACCCCTGCTTCTTTTCTGAAACCTCATCTACCTCTCTAGACCTCCTCTGTCATTTCCTACGCTAGGCTTAGCCTAACAAAGCCTCACAGACCTAAGGCCCTCTGCTGGCCCGAGCAGCCTTTGTGGGAACTGGGAGATGCATATCTGTGTAAACACACATGAAGCAGGGAACAGGATTTGTCCAAAACAGCAATGGGACTGCAAGCTCTACTGCTTGCTAGGCAGGATTTCTACCACTTGAGCCATTCTGCCAGCGCTCTGCTCATTTCCTGGATAGCGTGCAACCTGACCAACCAACCATTCCATAGGCAGACCTGGTGGGAAGGGAGGCCACAAGGTGTTGACGGGAGCTAAGGGAAAGGAGGTCATGGGTGGGAGTTAAGTTGCTCTGTTGTCTGCCCCCACCCCACCTCCTAGGCGAGCTGTATCGACTCAACATCCCCAACCCTGACCAAACTTCGGTGGTGGTGGAAGACCTCCTGCCCAACCACTCCTATGTGTTCCGAGTGCGGGCTCAGAGCCAGGAGGGCTGGGGCCGAGAGCGTGAGGGTGTCATTACCATTGAATCACAGGTGCACCCGCAGAGCCCACTCTGCCCCCTGCCAGGTGAGTAGTCTCCTTCCACAGCTGCTGCCACCATCCCCCACTCCCTGCCACACACACCTGCACTGACATTCTCCCTCTGCTGCTGCCCCAGGCTCTGCCTTCACGCTGAGCACCCCCAGTGCCCCCGGCCCACTGGTATTCACGGCCCTCAGCCCTGACTCACTGCAGCTGAGCTGGGAGAGACCACGCAGACCCAATGGAGATATCCTCGGTTACCTGGTGACCTGCGAGATGGCCCAAGGAGGAGGTACTGCTTGCCCCAGGGCAGGGGTGGCTATGGAGTGGTGGAAAGGGACCATGGGGGCTGAAGGTACCTTCTCTGGGCAGGACCAGCCACCACATTCCGGGTGGATGGAGACAACCTAGAGAGCCGACTGACAGTACCTGGCCTCAGTGAGAATGTGCCCTACAAGTTCAAAGTACAGGCCAGGACCACTGAGGGCTTCGGACCAGAGCGGGAGGGCGTCATTACCATTGAGTCCCAGGATGGAGGTAGGGCACCCCCACTTCCTCACCTCTCAGCATGCCATGCCTTCTCCTGGCACCATCTCAATTGGCTGTCTGCCCACTCCAGGCCCCTTCCCGCAGCTGGGCAGCCACTCAGGGCTCTTCCAGCACCCACTACAGGGCGAGTTCAGCAGCATCACCACCACCCACACCAGCACCACTGAGCCCTTCCTTGTGGGTAAGTCACCATAGGCAGGGAACGCTGGCTCCTGATAGCACAGAGACAACCCAGAGAGGGGCAGGGACCAGGCAGAACCCTTCCAACCTCTTCCCCTGCAGATGGATTGACCCTGGGGTCCCAACACCTGGAGGCAAGTGGCTCCCTCACCCGGCATGTGACCCAGGAATTTGTGAGCCGGACCCTGACTACCAGTGGAACCCTCAGCACCCAGGTGTCGGACCAACAATTCTTCCAACCCTGATCCCCCAACCTCCTTAGTGTCCTGGACCCTGGACCCCCTCCCCACCTTCTCTCCCCAGCAACTCCATCCTTGGATCTCCAGGGGCCCAGCCACCTGCACGTTGATCACAGAGCAGGGGGGCATCCTCTGGGAACCATGAAAGTGGCAGACATCCCAGAAGGCCCTTCTGGCTGCCCCCTGCCCTGGGCTCAAACCCATTTGTAACCAATGAGCTGAGACCAGTGCAACAAGGCCCCAGTGTTTGTTCTACACTCATAAAACATTTTGCTACTGTTTGGCTCTGCCCTGACCATTCTTCACAGGCTTGAGAGGCACCAGCCTAAGAGTAGAGCAGATTCTGACCATGCATCTTTCTGACCCCCGTGCATACACCCACCTCTAGAGGCAAGTGGGCCCCACAGTCAGAGGCAAAGTTTATTGAGCACCAAGATGCAGAAGGCAGGCACTGAAGGCCAAGCTGTGGGCCCTGCCACCTCAGCCCTGGGCCCATATGTGCCATCCCACTGGTGCCTCACAAGCGCAGCACTTTGGCTCCGTCGGCAGCATGAGAGAGGAAGAAGGTGGCCATGCCGCTGTACTGCTCCTGGGGGAGAGGCGGGCAGCCTAAGCCATGGGTTGACCCAGGCACCCACCTCTCTTGCCTCCCAGGCTCTGGCGCTCACCCACCTGTATGTGTTGCATGGCACAGGAAGCAGCAGAGGCCTCTAGCAGAGTCACTGTGCAGCCACCAAAACCACCACCCGTCATGCGACTGCCATAAACACCAGGCACAGATAGTGCCACCTCGACCAGTTGGTCTAGCTCAGGGCAACTCACCTCGTAGTCATCCCTGCAGAGGATATAGAAGGGTGGGCCTGGGACCCACCTGTGCCCAGGAGGTGCAGGGTACTCCAAGGGCCTCACCTGAGCGAGTGGTGACTCTCCACCATGAGGCGGCCGAAAGCCTTGTAGTCCCCGCGGCTCAGGGCGGCCGCTGCCTGGGCCGTGCGCTGGATCTCACCCACTACATGTCGTGCCCGCTGGAAGCCCTCCTTGCTCACAAGCTCTCTGCCCGCTGGGAAGGAACAAGGCTCAGCAGCCCCACCTCACACTTCCAGTGGATGTCAGGGGTGTGGGAAAGGGACCCGGGGGACAGTGGCACTGACAGGTTAGTGGACAGCTACTTACCAAGCCCCTAACTCACTGAAGATTAGAGGGCAGGGTGGGCAGAGCCTGGTTATCTCCAGCCTGATTCTGAAGACCCCTCTCATCTTGGAGCTCCCCTCCCCATTGTCAAACAGGACACCTGTATCACCCTATCATTCAGGGTGCAGGGAGGACAGCAGGGAACAATGTGCAGGACCCCCAGCAGCTTAAGCCTCCGACTTTGAGGGCTTCAAGGTGAGTGGGATACAGTGCAGCCCTCAGGAGACCATGAAAGAATAATCTTAAGGTTTCAAGCTGTGCAGAGATACAGCTCAGTGCTTTAGCACTTGCCTAGCAAGTGCAGGCCTAGGGTAGCAACCCCAGCACTGCAAAAAAACAGGATTTCAAATACTGTTCTGGGGAAGTGAGTAGAGCATGAGGGATGGCCCTGGAGATCAGGGTAGACTGGGAGGGTCCAGCAGGGAAACCAACCATCTCCAGGACCAAACATGCCAGCGGGCTCTCACCCTCAAGTTCTTCCAGTCGCACCTCTCGAAGGCTTTCTTTGCCCAGTGCCCGGGCCACTTCTTCACACTGGCGCCGCCGTAGGGGGTACTCACTAGAGCCCAGGGAATGGCGGACATTGGAGTTAGTGATGAGCACAGCCAGCTTGGGATCTGACAGAGGTACCAGGCTTGTCTCCAGGGACCTGGGGTGGAATTGGGAGTGGGAAGATAAATGGCCAAGGATTTGCTTGCCGGGCCATGGCATGCCCCACACAGGAGTTGGTAGGGAGTGGCAGGAGATGGGGGAAGTAAGTGAGAGGGTGGGGACCTGACCTGCAGTCAATGAGCAGCGCGTGGCCTTTCTGCCCCAGCAGTGCAATGAGCTGGTCCATGATACCACAGGGCACCCCTGCGAAGCTGTGCTCTGCCTGCTGACACAGCTGGGCCCGGGTAGCTATTGCCCCTGAGTCTGCGGCACAGGGTGAAGTAGTGAAGCTAGGGTCCAGGAGGAAGCCCAAAAGGGGTGGCTGCATTGGAGCAGCAGCAGTCCCAGTGGCAATCCAGGGAGATGCCCCACCCTCCCTCCCTAGGCCACAGTAGGGGAAGAAGCTCTCGCTATAGAGAGACATAAAGGAAGCTGAGTGGGTTGGAGGCTAGGGCCTAAGTGGTACCTGGGCAGAGCTGCTGGAGGAAGGTATATGTGGCTACTTCCAGAGATGCGGAGCTGGAAAGCCCACCCCCCAGGGGCACTGAGCTGACCACCACTGCACTGAATCCAGGGAGGGGGGCAGCTGCAGGGGAAAGAATGGTGATGGTAAGAGGGCTACTGGAAGGATGGACACAAGAAAGGTATGTGTCTTGGCAGGGTGGCAACTGCCCGACAACTGCTTCCAGGGCATGTGTTTCAATTGTCAGAGGCCACCATCTGTTGGGGTCCAGGGGCCCAACGACCTCCACCCTGCCACCCTGAGATTGCTGAGGCAGTCTTCTTAGTTGTCTTCCTGATTTAGGACTCCAAAGGCCAGCAAGCTGGGGCTTGAATCATATAAAGGGAAACCCAGGAAGGTTCCAGTATCAGTTTCCTCATCTGTACAATGGGATGCTCCACCCTGCAAGCCTTCTCCGTAGTGTATCTGAGAGTTGAATGGGCTTTGTGGCTGTGAGGTGGCACTCTAAGTAGCAGTATGAACTTGACCTGGGCCCCATACCTGGGTAATGCTGAATGACTCCCTTGACATAGTTGGCCCATCGAGGGGTCCCAGGCTCCAGGGACCGCTGGGCTGAGGGCAGTGGGAATTGTAGTCGCTGAGGCTCATCAGCATCCTTAGAGGTGGTGAGAAGAGACACAAGACCATCGGTTCGGGGGCTGCCTACCATCAGGGTCACAAGCTCCAGTGCCTGCCAGGAGAGACGATGAGTATGTGTAGCTTACACCAGCTTGCAGAGTAACTCAGCCACAAAGCCCATTCATCCATTAAATACACTGTGGAGCAGGCTTGCAAGGTGGAGCACTCCACTGTACATACAGATGAGAAAAATGATGCCCTGGGAGCTTCTGGAACCTGTGCTGGGTTTCCCTTTTTACAACTGGAGGAACTAGAATTCAATCCCCAAGGTTTTGCTGCCTCAGCCACTGTCAGGGACACAGAGAGAACTTGCTAACTCAAAGGGAATGAGGTGTGGCTCAAGCAAGAGCCTGAGTGCTGAGCTGGCCCTGGGGGCTTGGAGCTCTGCCCCCTGGGTCTTCAGGGGTGGAGCCAGCTGCAGCCAGAGCATAAACCTGGACTCTGCCCTGAGCAAGAGCTCCCAGCTGTGGGGCAAGGGGGAGATAGCTAGTTTGGGAAAACAGAGGCAGCAGCTGTGCAGTAACCACTCACTTCCCAAGTGGCTCAGTGGGGCTGAAAGGGCCCCAAATTGAGAGCTGGAAGGAATCACGCTGGTTAATACAGCAAGAACCAGCTGTGTGACCTTGAGCAGGTCCCTAGCCCTCTCTGGGTTCCTCTCCTCTGTAAATTGAACGGGCTGGGCCAGGAGACAGCGCTCCAAGTCTGCGGTTGCAGCCCCACAGAGGCGAAGGGTCCGGAGATTCCCCCATCCACGTGCTGCATAGGACCCCACGTTTTCCAGCGAGCACACTTCCAGGAACAGAGGGAGGAACAGCAGCCCCCAGAGGGCGGTCTGAGGGAAGAGGCGTCCGCAACCCTCTCCCTGTAGTCGCACGTAGAAAATCGCCCGTCCCACGGTCTTTTCCGTGTGTTCGAGCCCCACCCGTGGCTGCCCGCCTCGCCTTCCACCCGCCCAGCACCTCCGAGCCCCGCCCTCCTTCGCGATCGGGGTAACGGAGCTCAGGGCTGCCCCGCACAGCCCCTCACCATGGGCAGCACCAGTCCCTGGTTGTAGTCCGTATGCTCCCCGATGAGGTTGACGCGGCCGGGCGCCGACACGGCCAGCTCGGGCTCGGCCCCGAACTCCTCCCGGAAGGCCCGCCGGGCCTCGGCCAGCAGCTCCTCGATCTGGGGCGGTCTCGAAGCAGCCATAACGCTCGTCTGCAGCTCGGCGTGCCGCGGCGCGGGATGCTGGGGGCGGGGCCCGTGCGGCTGGCGCACACTCCTGCCCGGCGCCCCGCCCCCGATCCGACTGGTCACCCCCTCCATTGACCGGTTGGGTCCCGCCCCTTGTCCCGCCCCTTGCTCCGCCCCGCTGGGGTTCTGGGCGGAACTCACCTGATGATTGCGAGCGCAGATGCCCCGGGCTCCCATCCCCAGAGGGCAGCAGGAGCGGGTGACCTTGGGTGAGAGTCTGTGCCCCAGATGATATCCTTCTTTCTGGATTTTGGGGAGGACTAGTGGGCGCTCCCTGGAGTGAGTATGGCCTTGACTGGCACTTCGCCCGACTGGACTGTCTGAACTGCCCTTTCCTAGCGCCTGTTGATGTACTCCTTATCCCCGCCACCACCACCATATATACTCAGCCAGAGCAATGGAGTTGGCACCCGGCAGATCTGGTCTTCCCAAAGAAATCACGTAGGTCCCCAGGGCTAGCAGTCACCATCGCCTGATCATGGCCTTTAAAGGGTGGCCTGAAGCTGGGCACCGGTGGCTCATATCTGTAATCCTAGCTACACAGGAGGCTGAGATCGAGAGGATCACAGTTCGAGGACAGCCCGGGTTAAATAGTTTGTGACACCTCCTACCTCTTCTCCAAAATAACCAGTGAAATGATCGGGAGGCGTGACTCAAGCGGTTAGAGTGCCTATTTTGCAAGCATGAATCCCTGAGTACAAACCCCAGCCCCAGCAGGGCACCAGTGGCTCACGCCTGTAATCCTAGCTACTCAAGAGGCAGAGATCAGGAGGATTGTGGTTCAAAGTTAGCCCAGGCAAATAGTTCTCGAGACCCTATCTCAAGAAAGCCCTTCACAAAAATGGAATGGTGGAGTGGCCCAAGGTGTAGACCCTGAGTTCAAACCCCAGTACTGCAAAAAAACAAAACAAAACAAAAACCCATGGTTGCAGTTGGCCCTTGGGGGCTGGTTGAAATGGAATTAAGCTCATGATCCATGTCTCTCTCTGCAGGGCAGAGTTGAATGAAGTAAGGTTGAGTTGAGCAAAGCAACCTTTTTTTATTGTGGCACTGGGGCTTGAACTCAGGGTCTCATGTTTGCTAGGAAGGCACACTTACAGCTTGAGCCATTCTGCCAGCCCAGCAACCCCTTTTTTCCTCAGTTTTTACATCTAAGTGTCCTAAGCCCAAATTTCCACTCTTACTACTGTGTGATCTCAGGTAAATGACTAGACTCCTCTGTGCCTCAATTTCTCAGCTGAAAAATAGGACTAGTGATTCCTCCCTGACAGGCTTCTCTGGAAAAGGAATGGAAATAATCTTCATAAAGTTCCCAGCCCAGCACTTGACAGCAACACAGAATAAATGTTTGCTATTATTATCAGGCTTCCATTAATTTAACAGGCATTATTGGACTTTCCAGTGTGCAGTTGACCAGAAAGATAAAAAGCCTCAGCTCCTACCTTGTGGTCGGGAGGCAGACAGAGTCAAAAATCTGACATCCTTGGACTGAGATAAATTATTCAACTGGGAAGTAAAGGGAGTAGGAATCACCACCTTTCTTTAACCCCCATGTTTCACTCACTGTACTCATCATCACCCCTTGTTTTCTGTTTTGTTTTTATTGCTGTTTTTCAGTACTGGGGATTGAACCCATCCTGGATACTAAACAAACACTCTGCCACTTAAGACATACTCCTAGCTCCCCACCCCCACATTTTTTTTTTTTAGGTGGTACTGTGGTTTGAGCTCAGGGTCTTGAACCATATCCCCAGTCTGTTTTGCTTTTTAGTTATTTTTTCAGATAGGGTCTGGTGTTTTTGCCTGGGCCAGCGTTGAACTGTGATCCTCCTAATTATGCCTCTGCCCATAGCTAGGATTACAAGAATAGAACACCACACTCAGCTTATTTGTTGAGATTGGTTCTCCCTAAATTTTTGGAGATTGCAAAAATTGGAGACCCAGGTTGGTCTCCAATCACAGTCTTCCTGATTTCTGCCTTCTGAGAAGATGAGATTACAGGTGTGAACCACATGCCCAGCTTGAATTTTGTTTTTCAGATAGGTTTTATTTTGCCTAGGCTGGCCTCAAACTGGAGATCCTCCTGAGTCTACCTCCCAAGTAGCTGTGATTACAGGCACGCGCCACCACACCCAGCTTCATTTTACCATTTGTATTATTTCGGTTTTTCTTGGAGAACTTTGATTTGGCCTAAAGCGAAATGCTCTTGTTTGTTCCAGATTAGACTCTGAAACATTGATCTTATCTGGGAGTTGTGTGTTTACTCCTCCCTGCCCCCGCTCTTATTTATTTTTTGGTGGTACTCTGGTTTGAATTCAAGGCCTCACACTTGCACCAATTAAGCCATGCCCACAGTCCTCTCTCTCTTTTTTTTTTGGCATTAAATCCAGGGCTTCAGCATTCTAGGCAACCACTCTACCACTGAACAACACCCCCAGCTCTATTCCCTTTCCTGATGAGATTGATTGCGTTCAGGGTAGTATGGCTATAACCCTATTCCCTTTTCTGAATCCTGTGTATCTTCTTACAGGAAATTTGTTCAGAAGAAAGTGTGTGTTGACCTTGACCTTTGACTCTCACTCCCATTCCCTGGCCAGATATCACAGGATTGGGGAGAGGTGGCCCCTTTCTGGGGACACTGCACCCCAAGGTCTATCTTTTGCTCTGCTGGCATCAACATGGCTAGCACTGACCATCACATAGGGCTGCAGCATTGTGATAGAGTTCCCCGTAACATCTTTCATAGGGACATATCCAGGGTGGGAATACCATTTATATCAGCTAGGGTGACATGTGGACTAGATAGGTCTAAAAGTGGCCAAGGAACATTTGATCAGGTCATGATGAACCTGGCCCCCCATTGAGGATTGTGCGCCAAAAGTGTCTCTTCTCAGTGGAGTTGTGTCTATCTTCCAAACCAAAGCCAAACTCTCACCCCTGGGACCTTTCTTGCTAGACTCCATGTGAGGAAGGTTCTGTATGCTTGACACAGCTCTGTCTTCTCCATTGCAGGCACAGCCTAGGTTCCCTAATAGGTCTTAGGTCCACATCTCCCAAACAAATGTCTCTGAAAATAAGTGCTCTCCGCAGATGGCCAGCCCACCATCTCACCCATTGTAGGAAATCCTTTTTGTTGTTCTCAAAGGATTAACTTATTTTGGGATTTGGGCTCCATTTGCCCTGCTGTGATATGTATCATAACAACTTCTATAGAACTGATAATATTGACATTGGGTCAGCCCACACAGAAGGTTATATTCAGCCAGAATGCACCAGCAGAGCAGTATTGGTTGTTTATCACCAGTGTCTGTTCTGATTGGTCAATGCCCTGAACGTCTGTGGTCAAAAATTTTTACAGTTGCCCCTAGAGTTTACTGTATCCAAGCTTTGCATAGATTGTTTCATGACATCCTTAGAACTCTGCTGGATAAGTACTTCACTATTCCCATTTTACAGATGAAGAGAAGGGGGCCTTGAACTTGGATCTGTCTGATCCTGAGTCTGTTCTTTCAGCCACTACCACACAGCTATCCTGTCCCCATGAGTACTGCAGGCTGCTGCAGTCTGTAGGCTGCCAGCCTCTGCGTGCAAAAGTACCAAGGAGTCAAAGTTCAGCCTCCTTTCAGTGGGGAATGGGAGATACAGTGCTCTGCCAGACCACTGGAGTCCCAGTTTCCACATGGAACACTCCCCATTAGGAAGCCAGCCCAGTAACCTAAGTCCTGGGGAATCAGACTGCCAGAAGCAGAGCCAGCCAGCTGTGCTGTGGACTGCAGGGGCAATTTGGTTTGGTCTGCAAACATGCCTGAGCCTCTGCTACGTGCCAGTCATGACACTAGAGGGAGGCAAGACTGGGTCCCTGCCTTCAAAGTGCCAGCCTTCTCTCTGGCCTCAGATGCCCCTGCTCAGAGAAACCAGCTGTAGGCCTTGTCTGTTGGGTGGTCACACTCTGTTCCTGAAGTTCCTGACCTGTACATTGATGACTACCCTGTTGGCCAGGGAGCAAGTTCAGAATTCTAGGATGCAGCTGAGAGCTCAGGGCTGTGACCATCTCTTCTGGCACCTCACACTGGCCAGGAAGCTGCAGCTGGCACTGTAGCTGCCCAAGCATCAGGCCACTCGAGGTGGGCGAGAGGACTTTGAGAAGAGTTAAGGGGGGAAGCTAAAGGAAGGAGTGCACTCTGGGCTGCAGCAGTACAATGGGGCCCATGATGCCTGGGCCTTGTGACAAGCCCATCCTGCCCCCACTGCTTGATAGCTCAGTGCTGGGCAGTAAGGAGCTTACAGGAAAGTCCTGCTGCCCATATGTCCACCAAAGGAAGTGGGAAGGGTGTATGGGTTAATGGAGTCCAAATTCCACCTCCATGGGGACATACACAGTCCCTTACACACTCATCAGTAAAAAGACCACCTGTCCTAAGCTGCAGCCCACTTATCTGTCCTTCCCAGGGCCTTCTTGTCACTGATCCTGGTGGTGTCTGTAATGGACTCTCCCTTTCTGCCCACCCTCCACCCTCACTGTATGAACTTTTGACTCCTCAAGTCCTGGATGAAAGTTGGCAACTGCTGATGAGATCCCAGACCCTAGCTTCTGTAGCTCTCCACTGATCCTTTTCCGGATCATGTATGGCCTTCTGTTCTTCCCTTGTTTCCCTAGTAGGGGGAAACTGCAGAACCTCTTCACTTCCTCCATGGGGAAGAACAGAAGGCTGTCAGTAGGGGCTCTGCTCAGGGCAGACAGCTAAGAGGCAAAGAAATGCTGCTTATAAGACTGGCGCCTGCTGGAAACTGGGCATGGTGCTCAGATGTGGCCTGGGAGACCGGGGTACATCACATGAAGTTCTGTGACTCTTTGCTTGTAATGATGGTGCTATCGAGGTGTTAGCAGCCAGCAGGATCATAGGGAGCAGGAGTTCCCCAGGAGGGAGGACATCTTTTTCTGGCACCTCCTCCTAGCATATAACCCCTCAGTGTATAAACTCAGAGCCATTGCAGTTGCACCCACCTAGGTCAGCCTTCCTCATTCTCCAGATCTATTGAAGGAGTAAGCAAGTCAAAAGACGACTCACCAGGACCAAGGCACCCTCAACTTTCTTGGGGGTTCTATGGGATTTAGATTGACAACATAGTTTTAAGCCTGGCCTTTTCTCCCTTCCTCTATCCTTACCCTTGGGAAGGAAGCTGGAAAGCTAGCTGTCTGGCCAGCTGAAATTACTGGCCAGAAGCCAAGCCCAGTTGAAGTGGCCCAAACTGAGGATATCCTGAGAGGAGGGTATCTCCCTGAGGAATGCACATAGGGGGCAGGTAAGAGCACCACTGAGGTGAGGGAAGGAGTGAAATGGTTATGAAGGCCTAGATAAGGTACAGTTCCATACCCATGCCTTAGGGAAGTGGACTGACTCTTGTGGACTGTGATTCTTGTGATGTGACTGTAAAATGCTTCCGCCCCAAGGGACAGAATGGGGCTCAAGACTACACTACCCACGGTAGACAAAAGCTGCAGTGAGAAAGGATAGAAATTGCCCACCTGGTGGCCCTTTTCTGGGGAAGGCTAGACTGGCCTTAGGCTTGAGGCTCTGATCCCAAACATATGCTGTGACCATCTTGCAGAAACTGAAGGGTCAGCCTCTGGGTTTCTTGCTGGCCCAAAAGCTGATGGCTGTATTCTGCTAGGTTCCCCCCTCTGCAGCACCACCTGATGGTGATGCATGAGAACAGGTTCTGATTCCAGTTGCTAAGACCCCAGCCCCAGTGCCTGACACCAGGCAGGAGGCAGTGTTTGCAGGGCACCTTGGATGGGTGTGAGATGAGGAAGCAGAGATTACTGTTGGGGAAAGCTGAGGAATGATCCAGCCAGTAAAGATAGAGACCAGTTCCCTATACCTTGAGACACTACCAGGTGGCACCAGGGATGAGGAATGAAGAATATCTGGCTAAGGTCATGGAATGTTTGTTGTTCCATGCTGTCCTCTTTTGGGCCTGAATCAAGTCATCCCCTTGTCCTGGAGGTCCTAGATTGTGCTCTTACGAAGGTGTCTAGAAGGTGTGTTTGGGAAGTTGTAGGGCAGAAGCCAGGTCCACCTTAGGTGACATGCCTTCCCTCCGTTTCTCCTGCCTTCCTCTCTCCTATGCAGTTACACTTGCCAGTGGACACATAAGACCCTATTTCTGCTTCATTCCAGAACTGACCAGATGCATTAAGGAAGTCTTCACAAAATTTAAGATAGTGAAGCCAAAGTTAAAGGGGTAAGTGCTTTGAATCCAACTTACTTTCTTGAAATCTGTCCTAACACAAGATTCACTAGGTCGCCATCACACATCACCATGCTATGAATAGGATAACCATAATTTACCAAATTGTGGCAGTTGAGAGTAAACATAGGCACTATTTATATACCAGTTCCAAAGAAATAAACTGGCACTGTCCTGGGAGATCTGCCCATCTAATTAACAAAGTGTGCTTCCTCCTCCCAATCCCCTGCTGGACTCAGAAGGCTCCCTAAACATTTCACCAAGTTCTGTGAGTCATTCAAATGAAAACCATTAAAAAAGAGTCTGTAACTTCAAAAACTTTATTTTAGTCTTATCCATCAAGTGCACAGGATACCTTCAACAGCTCCAACTTTTCCTTTTCTCCTTACAAATTCCACTCCATTGCTCTTACGGGGTAGCTTCCTAAAACTGAAAGTTGTCTTCTGGGTTACGTGTGTTCAGATCAAGTGTGTAACATCCCAAGTTGCACTATTTAAGTAGTAGTTCCAAGGCTGCCCAAGAGCCTTACACAAGTCTTTGGACTAGGGGAGGGGTGTCACTCACTCTAGTTACCACAGGTAGTAATTCAGCAAGCCAATCCCTAAGGACCTGGTCTTTTCAGACACTCCAGAACACAGGCCATTCCAGTATCTAGAATCTCATTTAGAAGCATTTGAGGAAGTTGTCAGAACTGTTTGCTCCAGAACTGGTTGTGATTGACCTAGAAAACCAATTAACTGTATTGGACTTGACCTTTGACCTCCTCATAAATTGCTCACTAAGCCTCTATTAAGCATCTTAAATTTGAAACTTGACCCAAACTGACTTTAAAAAAATTAGGGCAAAAAACCTCACCCTTTTGTTCACTGTAATGTTTGGACAACTGAATCTTACAGCCACTTCTAACATCCATGTAGTACGCTTTTCTTATCTGTCTAGATTGGTCTCAAATTAGGCCTTCTGAATGATGGGATGACAGGCATGTACTGCATGTACTAATACTTGAGGAAAAGCTGTCCTTGCTCAACAACACTCATGCTGAAAAGGTGGCTTCAGACCAGTAAGTTCTGCTAGTTTTGTTAATCTGTATAAAGATGTTAAGTCTGCTGCAGAATCATGAACAGAACAAGCCCTACAAATTTAAAATGTTTTTCTTCCAATAAAATCAATTTAACATGTATTTTTTTCCCTTAACACTGTAAAAGGCTGTTATAAAGTGCAGCAGTATCCTGGGTTTTGTGCAATGCTGGGGCTTCCTGCATGCTAGGTCAATGTTCTATACCTTTGAACTATATATTCCCTGCCCTTATTGCATTTTTATAGAGCAAAGGGCTACTTGTATACTTTCTGTAATCTCTGTAGATAAATGGTTCTTTTATCTGAGAAGCTGAAATAATCTAAGCTCAAGCACTAGGATATATAACTTAAGACACGATGGATATATCAAAATTTTGTGCATTCAAATTTAGGTTTTGGACACTTAGTTGGATAAAGAAGTTTATTTGTAAATTTAGTCAACATACATAACTTACCTAAAAACTTCGATATAAGGATAAATTTAAAAACCACTTAAAAGGCCATCTCTATAAAAGGGATTTTCCCAGGACAGTAACCAGATGTAACCTAACCCAACACCACCCTAATTGGCACAGGTCCAATAAACTGGAGCTGCAGTGCTCCTCCCCCACTCAAGTTCACACTAAACTTCAAGGAAAAGAGCGAATCTTGGTATTGTTTCCTCTTCATAAAGGAGGGGGGGAAAAAACTCAATCTAGTTATGGAACCAACCACAACACAATGAAAAGCTGCACTAACTAGAATATTAGTAACAGATGATGCTGGTGCAAGTAACTTATTCTAGAGCCCTTATAAATAAAATCCCCCAGTTAGTGTTTGCATTATCAGCTAGAGTTATCATGTGGTAGAATGAGGACTTATGCAAGGTATTAATACGAATAGCAATTTACTATGAAAAGTGCAGTCTAGTTAGGAGAAAACCAACTGGACTCTAATTACACACACCTTAATGACAAGACTCCCCACCACTTGTGAATGTAAAACATTTAATTTAAAAATGTTGACACTACAATATATAAAATAGCTATTATAAATGCACATAGTGTATTCTATAGCTGCCAGGTTTACTTTTTTTTTTTCTTTTTTAAGGAAACTGTAAGTTACACTGTGGTTAAGACTTGTATCTTCACCCTTGAAAAAGCCCACATTCTATCACAGTGATGTATGGTCAGACTTAACAGCCCCAATTGTTAAACACTTGGATCAAGTCATAACCAGTTTTATTGCAAAAGGACCCTGTACACATTTATTTATCAATTCTAGTACCTTAATAGCTACCCAACAAGTCATTAACATACAGAAACATGCATCATGAGAAGCAAGAAATATCACCCATCCCTTCTGCATATTAGCAACTTGTCACTCCTGAGCCACAGTGCTCACATCACTGAGGTCTGTGAACAGTCACTTTTCGCATTCATCCTGAGTGAAAGATGGAATGACTTAAGTACAAATGCAACATATTATAAACAATTTCTTACAAAAAAAGTCACAAATTAAACGAAAGTATTTTACAGAATTTACTACAAAACGCCATAAAAACTGCCTTCACTTAAGCTCTCTCTCCCCGTATCCGGCGAGCCAACTGGATGTCTTTGGGCATGATGGTAACTCTCTTGGCGTGGATGGCACACAGATTAGTATCTTCAAACAACCCCACCAGGTACGCTTCACTAGCCTCCTGTTGAGGACAAGAGCCACACTTATTAACTCCGGTCCAGAGAAAGCCACACGAGCCCTCCCCATGTGCTCCACAAGCCTTTGTCCCTTTACCTGAAGCGCACCAATGGCTGCACTCTGAAACCTCAGGTCGGTTTTGAAATCCTGGGCGATCTCCCGCACCAACCTCTGGAAAGGCAGCTTCCGGATGAGAAGCTCGGTCGACTTTTGGTAACGACGGATCTCTCGAAGTGCCACGGTCCCGGGCCTGAAGCGACACCGGGGAGGGACAGTGAGCTACCGCACAATGCAGACCGTCGCCAAGCCATTGTTCCCTCCTGCTTTGCCTACCTACCTGTAGCGATGAGGCTTCTTCACCCCGCCAGTAGAGGGGGCGCTTTTCCTGGCAGCTTTAGTGGCCAGCTGTTTGCGGGGGGCTTTCCCACCAGTGGACTTACGAGCAGTCTGCTTGGTTCGGGCCATTTTCTCTCACCTACCGACACAACCCAGGAAATAAGGCCGAGGGCTCTTCCTGCCCAGCCCCTCGGCAAATGCCGCCCTCCCGCCTCTTCGCGCCCCACCTCGCGGCAGCAGATGGCCGAGGGCAGCGGCCGCCGCCTCCTCCCCCTCCCCTAATGACTCAGGCTGCGAGGAGCAGCAGCCTCCCCCGGGAGGGGGGTGGCGGGGAGGAGTCACTTCTCTCCCTCGACGGGCGGAGGCCTGACTGCCCGGAACCCGGCGTCGGGACCTCTGAATCATCACCGGGAAGACGACGTAATCGCAGTACCGGAACGAAACCCCTGGGGAAACCTGACCCCAGACCCGACGCCAGCCGCCCCAGCAGTCCCACGATCCGACTGCCATCTCCCAACGGCAGCGGCCCGTGGCATCAACGGCTGCCGGAGCCTCTAATCACAGATAAACCCAGGTTTGGGGACACTTACCCAAAGCTGAAGTCTTAGCCCGTTTCTCTGACCACAGCACCGAAGCTGTTGCTCAAATGAAAAGCCGCAGTTGAGAGAAAACCCCTAAAGCTCCTCCAACGAACGACCAAACCGCTCTGCGCTCCAAACCCCCCGACGCCTCCAACTTTATACCCACGCTTCACGCTGCGTCTCTACGTCATAGACACCTTATTTGCATACACCAACGACTTTTTCTATTGGCGGGCGCTTTCGCGGACGCGCTGACATCTCCCGACACAAAGGCCGTGCTTCGGCCCTGTTCCCTGATTGGTGGAAGATTAGGCCGCTGATTGGCTGTTAAAATTGCTTCCTGATTGGATGAATGCAAAGAGGAATGGGCGAATCAGAGTTTAGCACTAACCGGCTCTTCTGATTGGATAAAATGGAGCTATGTTTGGATCCTTCCCTTGGTTCCAAAGCTCTACAATAGAAAGTCAATGCAAATGAATTGTATTGGTCCCTGTCAGGATTTAAGAAAGTGCGAATGGGCAGGAGACTTAAAGCTTATTTGCATCCAGCTAATTCAATATTGGAGGAGAGGCTACTTCAAAGAAATTTTTGTGAATATTTTCTAAAGTGAAATAAAATGTGTTCTCTGGATTATTTACTTTTCACAACATTTTAATCATTAAGTATAAGGTGTGAGAATTGAAATTCAGTAAATCATGTTGTATTGTCAAGTACAGTATTTTGTATATCATGAGTATACATTTCTAACTAAAAAGTAATTCATTTGTTTGGTGGTGAGGGGTAATAGCTACAAAGAAACAAATCTCAGTAACTGATTTTAGTGCATGTTTATTTAGGCCATTACAAAATATCTTGTGATTTCAATGTGCTTAGAGTTAACCAAGAAGTAACTTGCTGGCACAGTGATAAAGTGCCTGCCTAGCAAGTGTGATTTCAAACCCCAGGACCATCAATAAAACAAATTAAAAAAAAAAAACCACATATAAAATACAAAACCAAGTTCAACATTAAAATCAACCAAACATATCCCAGGAAATTGAAATAGGTTGGCCTGGAACTGTCTATCTTCCTGCCTCAGCCTTCCAAGAGGTGAGATGACAGATGTGAATCACCACATCTAGCTGATACCTACAAATTTTAAATATAAAAGAATGACCCCAGGGTAGAGTGCCTGCCTTGCAAATGTGAGGCTCTAAGTTCAAACCCCAATACCACCAAAAAAAAAAAAAAAAAAAAAAGACCCCAGACAGTGAATTTAGGACTAAAGCCAAGATGTTATTTATTTAATGTTTGGCAGTACTGGGGCTGGAACTCAGGACCTTGATGCTTGCTAGGTAGGTGCTCTAGCACTTAAGCCACCCTCTACCAGCCTGATATTTCCTTTATAAATGTAATGGAGAACTTGTTATACATAAATCTGTAATTTGTAATTATTATGTTCTTCACTAGAAATTGTATATCTTTAACTTCTGAAGTTACTGAGATAAGTGGAACACTGTCAATTTTTGCCTCAATTTGTTTCAGTACAGCAAGACTGAACATTTAACATGATGAATCCAAACAAAATGACCACTTTTATGAAGAATATGGATCTACATCACCATACTTGGCCCAAAGGTCTTGTATCTCCATCAATACAGCAGAAAAATGCATAACTTGAAAAAATAGCTAAGGCAGAAACATCTTAGCCCAGTCTCTAGTACCAAATTTCCCTCTTAATTTTTTTTTTCCAGTCCTGGGGATAAAACCAGGACCTCATAGATGCTAGTCAAGTGCTCTACCACTGAGCTACACTCCTAATCCTTCATATGCTGATCTAACCAACTTTAATTTCTGCCTTCTCAAAGTTTGGGATAGGGGAAAAAATATACTATTTCGTTCATGCTATACTGATAAATGAAACCAAGATGGAGGCTCTTGCTCTGTCTCAAAAGTTGTGAAAAGCATGAGATGGGACCATTTAGATCCACATAGGAGGCTGTCAGATGCTCTGGGAATAAGCTAGAAAAATACCTTTTCTTTTTTTTTGAGTGCTCACAGGAGGAATAGGCTTCTAAATTGACCACCCCACCTTTGCTGTTCATGGTGTCTCTGAGAGACGCAGAGCCCTGTCATTTCCATGCTTCCAAGGGAAGGTACAACCCAGGTTTCTTTTTGTTGTTGTTGTTGTTTTCCAGTTGTGTTCATTATTAGAAACTCAAATGAGCTCTAGGAAAAACAAGGTCTAGATGTACATTCATCCATTTCAGGATGGTTAATGGAAACACTTTGTCTCTGACTTGGTCTTTTGCCTAACAGACATGGGAGGAAAAGCAACATGGGGAAAAAGGAAGAACTAGAAAAACGTCTATTCAATGTAATCAAAACAAAAAAGCAAATGGGGCTGGGTGCCCAGTGGTAGGTAGAGCGCTTCCCTGACATGTGGCCCTGGGTTTGATTCCCAGCATTGCACAAACCAAAAAAAAAAAAAAAAAGCAAATATAAGGCAGCATGTCCATACTGTTCTGTTCATCAATTTGCTGAGCAACTTTTGGAAAGTTACCTAACTTCTCAGAGTTTTGTTTTCCTGTTCTGTAAATGAAGTAGTTTAATGGCATCCTCTTTTAATTCTACCACTGCATGCTTACTGTGAAGCTCATGATAAACGTTTATTATTTAAAAGGTAGCTGTGCACCTTTTTTTTTTTTTTTTGCAGTGACAGCACACTCGGTTATTGCAGGGATAACATATAAACCAATTACTTGGATTTAATTATAGAATTAAAGCAATACACTGAAACTTCTATTTTTCCTTTTGGAATTTTTCATCTTCAAATGGCTCTAGTGCCTGAAAGATTGATCTGTCTTGTTTAGGAAATACCAGTTTCTCAACTTTGTAAGCTGACAATTTGGCTTCTGATGTGAGGTTACTAGGAACTAAATAAAAAAGTAAGTCACTCAAACACTAACAAGTTTCCATTTGCCTCACCCTCCCGCACCCCTAAGTTTATTCAGAACGTGTTTATTTAATGAGATAATCATTAGCCAACATGACCTTATCTAATAAAATGTAAATCAGTCTTAAAAACAATGAATTTGAAATAGATTCAATGCAAAAAAAGCTAAATGGCAAGTGTTAAAATAGTTACAAAAAGCATTTTTATTTTTGGTGGGACTGGGGCTTGAAACTCAAGGCTTTATGCTTAGCAAAGCAAGCACTCTACCACTTGAGCCACATCTCCAGTCTGTTTTTGCTTGGTTATTGTTTTCGAGATGGGGGGGCGGTTCTTCCGAACTATTTGCCCCACTTGGCCTCGAACCGTGATCCCCTGGGTCTCAGCCTCCCAAGTTGCAACGATTACAGGTGTGAACCACTGGTACCTGGCTTATTTTTGTGGTCGTTGTTTTTTGAGATAGGGTCTCCCTGGTCCGGAATTTCCTACATAACCTAGGCTGGCCTTCAACTTGTGATCCTTCAGCTTCAGCGTCCTGAGTGCTGGGATTACTACCATGTCTGGCTCACAAACGTCTTCAAGCTCATGGAACCAAATGCCTAGATCTGGGGCAACTGGTTTATTTTACAAAGACAACAATTTGTCTCACTGGTAGGAGGGGGAGGGGAAATACTTTCCCAATTGAAAATGCTGTGTTCTAGAGAACACAGAATGGATTGCCTCTCATCCACTCCTTAAATTAAACCCAGGCCCTTCCAGTGGAGTCCACTGCGATGCTTCTGAATACGCCTGCAACTCGCCAGTGTATCTCTGACTATTCTAGACAGAGATTAAGTTCGTCCTTGGCCCCAAACATACAGGAAACAAATTCATTCGGCCAGGTGTGGAGTTAAGAAGGGACCCAAGTCGTGGAGGTCTAGGTTTCAGGTTGGAAGTTGTTAATGAGCCTTGCCTTGGCAAAAGCGGGAACAATGTGGTGTAGCGTGGCTCTTCCTCAGCAAAGCTTTCTCAGCCGACTTACGCAGGCAAGCTTCCTTTCATGCAGGAAGGAGGACGACGTTGGCTGTCTCCAGGTGCCTGCTGACCAAGGGCCCAGAGCTAAGAACAACAGTGGTCTTAAGCCCCGCTTGGAGGCACTGCTCTGAGCCGACATCAGAACCGTGCCTAAGCTGTACTAAGGGAGACAGTAATTACTAGTAGTGAAATTACACTTGGAACTGTCTCGCAAGAGTCGTTAGGGTCTCCCGAGCTCTGGCCCGCTTTTACCGACAGGGGTTCCAGTTTCTAGGAACAGATCCCCGACGAAACTGAAAACGCGCTAGTGAGAATAGCGTCGGACTCTAATTCCCAGAAGCCGTCGCGGGACTTCAGAATCCGGGACATCGTCCGCAAAGACCCCTGGGTATTGTGGTCCCACGCTTTGGCAGCAACTCCGTCCCGACGGTAAAATTTTAGCCGAATGGAGAACCACAACTCCCAGCGACGCTTGCTACAGTGCGGGGGGTCTTCACGTTCTCGTGGCGCGGCGCAGGCGCACTGGGTCCTCGGCGCGGACCGCGCAGACTGAATAATAAAAGGGGAGCGGCGAAGAGGCAGGAAGACAGGACCATGTCGAAGGGCCCCGGGCCCGGCGGCTCCGCAGCTTCCTCGGCGCCCCCGGCCGCTACCGCTCAGGTGCTGCAGGCACAGCCCGAGAAACCGCAGCACTACACGTACGTAGAGCCCCCCCCCCGCCGCGCGCGCACGCCTGACGTCAGCGGCCAGCGTGAGTCACGCGCGCAGGGAGAGCGCGAGGCGGCCTCTCTCTCCCCCCCTTTCCTCCTCCGGCCCGGCCCAGACCGGTTCCAACCTGCTGGGGCCAGTCTCAGCTGCCGCCAACTGCCATCAACCTCTGGTTGGGGCGTGGGGCCGGAAACTCGGTCCTAGACGTCGAGTGGGAATGACAGGATCTTGGGCTGCGCCGAGTGTACACTTCTCAGGCCAGGTCTTCCAGGTCCTACTGTTTCATCAGACCATAAAACCAGTGTCAGGCTCCTTCGGGGTGATAAGAAGTCCACGGCACGACCAAGACGAGTTCTGTAGGCGTCAGCCCTAGAACTGCCTACGAATGACTATTTGCTTGGGAGTTCTGTCGGGAGACTCCGTGCAAATGTGCACAGGAGGCCTTTTGTGCCCGAAGGCCCGCAGGTTGTCACCCTTGCCTGAATTCACTTAGATATGCATGCAAAGACGGAATGACCCCTTGCAGGTTGCACTGATCCAGCCCGAGACAGCGACTCCCGGGGTGATGGCCTCCGGGTATGGCCCATCGCAAGTGTGGCAATAGCGGGAGTCCCAAATACTGACAATGAGAGAGTAGCAAAATGGAAGAGCTCTGGAAATCTACATGTGTCCACGTATAGGTCCCTGACTTCATTTCAGTGCGCATTTTAAAGCACTACCTGGTGCTAGGTGCATTGGGAGAAAGGTGAATAAAGCGGATCCTCCTGTTATGCAAAATGGTTTTCTATCTGGGGGGTGCTCAAGGAGCGCCTCTCACCCCCACAGGCTCCTGAGTGATGTGCGTGTTTAGAAGCATCCTCAGCTGCGGGAGGCTTTGGGACTTGAGGGGCTGAACACCCCTCAGCTTCAGTGAGCCAGGAGCAGAAAGCATCTGGTGGGAGTGAGAGAACTACAAGTAGACAGGAGAAGCTCTTGCTTGTCACAAAAGATACTCTTGGGAAACAGGATTGGGGACATCCGTTATAGGAAGTGCTTTCTTTGTGGGATCCTCTGGTGTTGGCTTAAGTCATTAAGCTTCTTGACTGCATGTGGCTCAAGTTAACTTTTTTATAAGGCCATCGTTTTGCTGGTCTTTTCTTCCCGGAGTTCTTTGTTCATCCCTTCATTGTTTTTGGTGAGACAGTCTTACCTCAGTATACTGTCAGTTGAATTATCTGGTCACACAACAGTGTGGTCTTGATTTGCACGTGTGCAAACTTCACGTCATTGCAACGTCTTTATAATCTGTAGTTGCTCAAGTCATGTTTTTCTGTAAAATACCAAACACATTTGAGTAAGTTTTGGTTTTAGCAACTTGTATTTCTGTGTTGTGTTGTCATTGAGGTTTCTGATCATTTTGGAATTGGCAGATGAAATAAGTGAACAGCCTGTGTAAATGTTGGCATCTGAGTTTTTGTTCTCTTGAGTTTCATTTGTTTGGAACTTGTCTTTCCATTCCTTTTAGAGTAGGTAGAGTAGGTACAGTCCTGGGCTTGGCTCTTGAGGTGTCTTAATAAATCAAGAGAAGATGGAATACACAAACTTGACTGGATGGTGGAGGTTGTTGGTGTTCCTATCTCTTTGTTCTTGAGTGTTTATAATTTTTTTTTTTTTTATGTTAGTGGGGCTTGAACTCAGGGCGTTATACTTGCTAGGCTTGCTAAGCAGGTGCTCTACCTCTTGAGCTACTCCACCAGCCCTGTTTTGTATTGGGGTTTTTGAGATAGGGTTTTGCAAACTATTTGCCTCTGGCTGGCTTCGAACTGCAATCCTCCTGATCTCTGCCTCATGAGTAGCTAGGATTACAGGTATGAGCCACTGGCATCTGGCGAGTGTTTATGCTTTATCTCCAGAAAATCAGAGAAGAGAAGTCAGTGCCTTGATAGATTTATGGACATGAGAAGCTGTGATAATTTGGAAAGCTTCATCCCCTTGTCATCCAGTACTGAGTGCAGGGAGCATGAGAACACAGATAGCACTGGTATATTTGTTTTTTTTTTTTTTTTTTTTTTTTAAGATAGACTAAGTTGTTGCCCTCAGAAGTTACAGAATTGGAACTTTTTTTCTTTTGGTGGACTGGGCTTTGAGGTTAGGGACTTCATGCTTGCAAACCAGGCGCTCTACTGCTTGTGCCTCACCTCCAGTCCATTTTGCTCTGGTTATTTTGGAGATGGGGTCTCATGAATTATTTGCCCAGGCCTGCCTGGAACCTCAGTCCTCCCTCTCTCAGCCTAAGTAGCTAGGATTACAGATATGAGCCACTGGCGCTTGGCTTGAAACATTTTTACTTTGATTTCAGTATTTGCTAAAAAATCCTGAGCTGCTTTGCATCTTTCTATTCTCTCTTGCAGCATGAATTTCCAGAATTTGTTTCAATCTGAACATTGCCTTATTTGTTGTGTTGATTCCATTGTTTTTTGTTGTTGCTGTTTTTAAGGTGCTGAGGTTTGAACTCAGAGCCCCATGCCTGTTAGCCAGGCTCTACCACTTGACCCACTCTGCCAGCCCTTTTTTGTGTTGGATATTTTTGGTTGTCTTTTTTTTTTTTTTTTTTTTGGTGGGACTGGTGTTTGAACTCAGGGCTTTGTGCTTGCAAATCTGGTGCTCGACCACTTGAGCCACAACTTCTCCTGTGTTGGATATTTTTGAGATAGGGTCTCTGGAAACAATTTGGCAGGGCTGGCTTTAAACTGCTATTCTCCTGAGCTCTGCCTCCTCAGTAGGTAGGAATACAGACATGAGCCATGGTGCCCAGCCTATTCCATTGTTAAATACAAATATAGACCCCTTGTTTACTCAGGATTTTTTTGGGGGGTGGTCTCAGTATGTAGCCCAGATTGGCCTGGAACTGGCTAGAATTGCAGGCATGTGCCACCATACCTGGCCTTTTAATTTATTTATTTATTTTTGGTTCAGGAGGTCCCCGGGGCCTCTGCATGCTAGGCAAGCATTTTACTGTTGAGTTACAATCCCAACTCCTAAGTAGGTGTATTTTTATACATGATATTTGAAATTATGTGACCTGCTATAGTCTTAGCAATATTCCCAAAAAACTTGCACTAAAATCTAGTCTCAATCATTGGTAACGGCAATTTTGGCAAATAGTTGAATCTGCCCAACTGCCAGCGGCTCCTCTGCCAGCTCTTTTTTTTGTGTGTGATGGGCTTTTCCGAGCTAGAGTATTGAGAAGTATTTGCCTGGGTTGACTTTGAACCTCGATTCTCCTGATCTCTGCCTCCTGAGTAGCTAGGATTACAGGCATGAGCCATAGGCATCTGGCTTGAACCCTTCTTTTCTTAAGCCAAGAGAATTAGTCATAGCATAGTTTGAAGGATAATTATTTTGTTGGTATTTTTCCCCTTAACTCTTAAATAATCTTGCTTTAAGGGACACTGAAATAATCCTTTCAGCAAATTGGTGTAGCAGACATTCTTGCTGGATTTGAGGAATCCAATCCTTGTAGTAAAACAGTTATATCAGAATTTTCTCTGTTGTAGAGTTTCAAGTACTTGGTTTGCACACTCAATGAAATAATGTATGTGTATTAGTATTCTTCCAGTAGAAGACTCTGACCTCCTTTTGCTAGGTCATTTGTCTTTTCATTTGACAAAGACTAAATTTAAACCAGCTTTCTTTATATTAAGTCCATTTGTACTTTAGAAGAGTTTTGTAAAAACAAACTTAAGAATGGGAAGTTTTGGCCGGGCACCAGTGGCTCACGCCTGTAATCCTACCTATTCAGGAGGCAGAGACTAGGAGGATGGCAATTCAGAGCCAGCTCAGGCAAAAAAAAAAAAAAAAAAAAAAGCCAGACTCTTATCTCAAAAATACCAACACAAAAAAGAGCTGGCAGAGTGGCTCAAGTGGTAGAGCTCTGCCTAGCAAGTGTGACGCCCTGAGTTCAAACCCAAAAAAAAAAGAAAAAAAGCTGGACGTGTTTGCCCAAAATAGGAGGATGGTGGTCCAGGCTAGCCTGGGCAAAAACCAAGTCCCTATTTTCAACATAATCAGAGAGCAAAAAGGGTTGGAGGGATAGCTCAAGCAATAGAGTACCTGCAAAGTGTGAAGTCTTGAGTTCAAACCCCAGTACTACCCAAAAAATCCAATAGAGCTGAGCTGGACATATTGGTAGATACCTTTAGTAATCCAAGCACTTTGGAGGCAGAAGCAGGAAGATCATCAGTTCGTGGTTAGCCTGGGGTACAGAGTAAAACTCTTAAGTATATAGTTGAAAGGTCACAAAAAAACTACCATCTAAAATATTCAGGTTCTATCCTCATTACTTTGAGGAAGTATACCTCAAAGACAAATCTGCTTTGCATTCCTTTTACTGCAGTTGACTTTCAGACTTCTTAATGCTCTTGTGATAGAGCTAAATAAAATTCTAGTTTAATAAAAATTTGTTGGAGTTTCTGGCCACTGGGTGATTTCTTGCAGGGGACAGAGGAGAAGTGCTTCATCCTGGATAGCCTTGTCTATCCAGGTATCATTTTAATTTAGGATTGTTTCCTGTGCATCATTAAGCAAAGGTAATGTAGCAGTATTTCCATAGATTACTGTATTTAGGCAGTTTTGTTAGTTTATTCAGTATATAAATGTCATGAACTTCAACTGATTGCATCTGATTGTGTTTTGGAAAATCCAGAAAGTGAACATGTATTTAAGTCGTTATTGCAAATTGCAATAAAATGTAAATACATTACTAGAATATAACTTGTTGAACAACAGAAGTCACTGGGAGTGTTACTTAGCAACCTTAGATAAGTTAAATTACCAATAATCCTTTCTGGATCTTATTTACTTGTTTACCAAATAGAGCTAATTTCTTGAAGGACAAAAATTAAAGGTTCATTGTGGCCTTCAATCAAACTCATAAAAGGTCCCTATTAATAAGTGTTAAGTGCCCATAACTGAGGGTAGGCTTTAAGCTTAATACCTAGTCGATTTTTGC